AGTGTTTGTGATGACAATGTTGGTCGTATGAGACCAAAGACAACAAAGAACCAAAAACATCGATCAGACGAGCTTTACAATATGTTGGAATCAACTGGGAGACTTAGTGACAAATTGATGTTCAAGATTTACAGCTCTTTCCTTACAAAATTCAAACTCATCCCTATTGAGAGCCATTTCCATTGGACAGTGTTTCTGTTTCGTAAAGAAAATCTCACAACTTATTATTATTATTATTGTGGTGTACCAGGCTAGGGCTCCTCTTTTAGTTGAGGCCTTCCCTTCGCCCAATCATTCCTGCTTCTAAATATGACCTTATAAGGCTGGTTGAAATTGTATTCTGTCGGTATAAGGTCCGTTTTACTTTCAATCAGGTGATTTAGACATGGGTCCTTGAAGCTTTCGAGGTGTTCTCTGAGGTTGCCCTGCATCAACTTGAGCGAAGAAACTATTTTCAGTGATAAGGCACTTGAAGCTGCCTCCTTTTGTATATATAAATAAATGGAGCGGTGTGAGAACGAGTAGGGCTTCCAAAGCAGCCGTCGGATAGGATCTCATTGCACCCGTTATGTTAAGACATGCTGGATTTGTGCCATCTGTTGTTGTGCTGTCTTATGTTTTGTTTTTGGCCACCAAACCAATGAGGCGTAGGCGACCTAGGGCCAATGAGCCAATCGTGGTTTGAGACCCCAGTTCCTTCCTAGGAGCCTGCGGCAGATCTGGTTTGCCATGATGGCCTTTTTCCTCGCCTTATCTAAGTGTGAGTTCCAGGTTAGTTTACTGTCTAGTATTACCCCTAGGTATTTAACTTCTGTTTTGATGTTAATAGTTCTGCTTTCAATGGAGAGTGCTTTTATTTGCAGCTTTCTTCTCCGAGTGAAAGGGACTATTTCGATTTTATTTGGATTGATGCTGAGCCCATTGCTTCTACACCAAGTACTGGTTAGTGTAGCGTTTTCTGCATTAGTTGAGTTATGATTGTATCATATTTACCTCGGATTGTGATTACCAGGTCATCAGCATCAACTGTGGCTTACACGTTTAGGGAATTGAAAATCTGTATTTTGCTATCGAGAATTACTTCTCAACCCCAAACTGGTAACTATTGGGTATGCATATTAAGTCGTGGAATAATTGGTACCATATTCATTGAAGGAATGGCACTTGCAAGATAATGTGTTAGAAACAACAACATTTTAGTAACTGATCCATATTATCCAAGGGAACCCACATGTCGAAAATTTGTGGTTCGTGCAGAAAGGAGCAACTTTGTAGAGCCAAAAGGCCATTGGAATCAAAATTAACCGCTATACTTTTCTGATCTCAACTCTTGTGATTCATTTTTACAGAGCAACATAAAAGATTTGGAGTTTTGCAGAATTTTGTTCTTTGTTTCAGCCACATGGTAATCCTATCAATAAGAAATATTAATATGGAATATGTCCTATAGCGCATATATCTTAATGATCACGCCACTTTAAATATTGTTAGAAGTATAAATATCTCCTTCTTGGAAAATATACAAAACAAACGCGATCGGAAAATTTTGCGATAACAAATAGTTGTTTATCAACTTGGGCAAAGGTTACACAAAAAGAGTGATACAATATTTAATAAGTTAAAAGTAAAGAAATAATCTGAAGGTTTTGTTTCTAACTGATATGTAAACTTTTGTAATGAAATATAATAGAACGAAACCTTTCTCGATCGTACTGGATCAAAAAGAGGTGTAATCTTCAGCAATACGAAACGGTTTGTGACAAATTCAAGATAAGATGATCTGGAGTGGCCTATACTCAACTTTCTGTCATTAGTTTTTAATAGCAAACAAATATTCAGATTGGACAAGATTTACATAGTATTTATTAAAACAACAAAGAAGTTTGAAGTAAGCCTGGAACTTTGACAATTCATATTTATCGAAAAAATGTTTAACCAATAAAAACTGAGAAGATATACTAAACACAAGTAACTTATATGCGTTTCTGACTGCAATTAGATCCCTCCCAAAGAAGAAAGCATTGACGTTCGTCAATCTATAGAGTATTGTTTGGCGCTCTGAACAATTTAGATATATAACATCACAATGTAATCAAAAAAGAAACAAAATATGAATCACTATTGACGCAACAGTTCAAGTTGTAGTTCTATAAACATAAACATTTTCCAACACTCTCAAGAAATTTTAAGAAAAATTAAAAAAGACGACTTTATGTAGTGTTGTAAATACAGCAAACAGAATTAGTTTTCGATACTTTACAGACTACATAATTGAGGAATAATGTTACTGTAGCATGTATTTCTCGACGAGGAAAAATTGACTTCTACTTCTTTTAAGTGGAAATAGGCTTTTTGTGGAAAAAGAAAAATTTATAAGTTTTTGTATCAAACTAACTACGTTTTAGCTGTAATTTTAAAGTTAAATTGATGATGAATGAAAATGATTACTTTTCAACCTAAATATTTCATAGCGAACTGTTATACGGTACTTTAAAGTTAGATTCCGGTACCAGGGGATAATAATTCCTAGAAATTACACTTAGTAACAAACTAGGTCGTTCCAACAAGATATCGCAGAGAAATATGAAATAAAAGTTTTTGTCATTGTTAGCAATCGCAACTTGTGTGATATGTTCGTGAATAAAACAATGTTCAGAGAAGAGATTAAGTTACGATCCAAAATTGTTCGTCACGCTAAGAAGCTTATTTCAAGCAAGATGAGTTCAAAATCCAACAACAACGAATTTTGAGGTCTTCGTCAAGCTTCAAGAAATCTCTGAACTTGCCAAAGTGTTTTCCCAAACTAATATGTCTATCATGAATTTCATTATAAAAGCCACATTATACAGGATATTCTTAAAATGATACACAAGTGGCTAAAACAAGAATTTTATTATTTGGTTTCTAAAGTTAAAAATCCTTGAAAAGTTTAACATCACAACTTTCTACAAGATTATTAAAGAAGAGTGGGAGAAAACTTATTAGAGTTATTAAAAAAAAGAAACAATGCTATGCTTGGATTGATGTTCTTAAAAAAAATTTAATATCCAAAAATTATCCTTTTGAGCTTATAAAATTTATCGTTTTTTAATAAATTGGTTTGACATCATGAAACCAAATCGAAAATTCTGTTAAAGAAGACGTAAAAATTTGCGAAATGATCTAAAAAATTATGATTCTAAGAGAACAAATCAAAAAGTAATCGAATTGACTACAAATGAAGGTTCTTGGAGATATGAAAATTAACACTTTTAAAAGATTTCGTAATTTTCAGGAAGTATATTTAAAAGAATACGATTGATAACCTACTACTAAAAGTCTTTTAGATATGAAATATGTTGAAGGTCTTAATTGCAGCACCTCTACGATTTCTGCGACGATATCATAAACACAACTTCGTAATCTTAGTATACCAATAACTATTGTATATTGAGACGAATAAAAGTTTATCTTTGATGAGCGAGAGAGATAGTAACCGATGACGCTTATAATCGAGACGCTATAATCGACACTATATAATTTATGACACAATAAATCTTGATTACATTTGCTTTTATCTCATTATGATACCTCATTATGCTGCGGGTGCTCAAATCAAAAAGTATCAAAGCCCAAAAAAATTAAGTGTTTTGGGGTTATAAAAAAATTATAACATTTTAAGCATTAAAAATGGACATTGTTTGATTTGAAGAATTTCTAAAATATTTGATGATTTTCTAAGGATTTCCAATAGATTTACACAAATGTTTAAAGATTTCCTCAGGTAAGCGTTTATATAATAAGCGTTTCTGCGATTTACTTGAGATCCATCTACTTTTTCAAGGATTTTTGGAACATTTTTTAGAATTTTTAAAGATTGCTTCAAAACCGCAATGGATTCAGAGATTACGGTTGCGTCTGAATTATTAGCGACTTTTAGCTTAAAGCCAACAATACCTTTAATAGATTCTCAAGCATTTCCTATTGATATTAAGGATTTTCAAGTATTTTAGAAGATTTGGAAGGTTTCCAAGGGCTGCCTAAGAGTTTCTGGCATTTGTTAAAGATATATCTGTATTCTTAAGGATTTGCAGTGTATTTCCAAGAATATCCTAAAGATCTTCACGCATTTTTAATAATTATAAAATACATCCAAAGATTTTACAGAATTTCTTGATATGCTTCAAGATTTTCAGAGTATTTACAAAAATTTTTAGGTGACCAGTGTGTATCCAAACAATTCCTGCGGTTTTAAACGAATTATCAAAGATTTCTTTCGATAATTTCTGGTATTATTTGAGTTTCCGAAATAGAAGTAAAAAAATAAAGCAGTTTTCGATCTATCAGACAAAGTGAACTTTTTTTTGGCAAACTTTACTAATAGTTCAAAAAGATAATAGTAAACCTAGAAATAGATTTCCTTCTCTGTTAACTTTCTGAAATAATAAGTATTTACCAAACTTATTCAATAAAATGTAACTGCGTTATTAATTTAATTTGTTCAAAGTTTAGTTGCGCAAGGACATTTTAAACATATTAGTCAAAATGATATTTATTATTCTAAAAAATAAAAAAGATAAAATGTTTGAACTCAATATTTGATACGCAAAACGATAATTATCCAATAAATAAGATCTTATTTTAGAAAAAATTAAGTAAATAAAACTATTTCTAACATTTGGCAATGGAATAAATGTTAGTTGCCAAAACTGGATAATAAAATCATTCTTGTACCATCTGCTTGAAGACTAATTAAAGAATTTTCACCAAAGCTAAAAATAATAAACAAACAAACCTTTTTTCATCAAAAACCTATAAAGTTATTATATTACTTATTATTTTCTGACATTGTAGCAATTAAATTGTTTTTATTTTTTTTCTGCAATAATCAATCAAAGTCAAAAATTAATCAGTGTCGGATATAACAATTACGTCTCCCTAGAATTCCTATTTTTAGGAATTACTCATTACATCTCTACAAAAAAAGATTCTTGTTTAATTTGTGTCTTATCTCATTACAGTGTGAAAAATCGATTTATCTCAACTTATCAAGAGTATTAAATAATTATGGTTATGGAAATCATGGAAAATATAACTGCACCTGAACCACATTGGATATTAGATCAAGCTGAATCTGGATCAATGTATTGGAGAAGGGATCCAGCTGAAAATAAAGCTAGGTAATAAACTAGTAAAATTTTAAAATTAATTGGTTAACGTTAAATTATATTCGTTTGGATAAACACTTTCGGTTTTGGGTATATTCAGTACGTGTACAGTAGGTTGTTTTGAACTTGATTGATATATGTATATTGGCAGATAATGCATCACGTCGTTTAACGAAGTATACACGTGTTGCTGACAGATTCTAAACATATACGGATAATAAAATGATTACACTCCTGTATCTATTATTGTGTGTTCGAGACTAAACTAAAACATTTTTTTTCTATTTCTATTTTAGAGTGAGATTCCGTTACGATGTTGAAATACGAGAATTCTACAGGAACGATCATGAATTGGAAGAAATCGAATGGCCAGAAAAACAATTAACACCGGCGCATAATACCTTAACAACAATGAGTATGACCTTATTTTGTATAGCCGTTACAGTTTTACTTCCATGGTACATAATGGGAGTTAATTAATTTATACTCCCATTATTATTTTCTACTTACAATAAATTAAAAAATACAGTGACTTTTATCTGTGATGCTACCTGACAATTGAAAAAAAAAACGTTTTGTGTTTAAATAGGTTTAATTATAATTTATTGTTGTGAATGTTCCTATTTTATAATAAGGAGAAATCGTGAATGTAATAATTATTTTTGTAAATTAATGTTAAACATAAAAATGTTTTTTAAAATATATATGTTGAGATTGTATCGTTTCTAAACTCTCATCTGCACAACTCTCATAATGTAGATGTAGGTTTATGGTTCACTTATGCAGTGATGCAGCGAAAAGCGAACCTACTTTCTCCATGAAATTGTGCGTTATTACAACGCTGCGGAACACCACTGATTACTTGTGTTTTTCCATGTTAATTGTACGTGTCGATCAATGTTACAATCGTTTTTATAGATTTTATCTGGTCCACTTTACTTTCTTTGTTTTATGTTTCAATAAGAATTCTTTGTTTCCAATAAAAATTATAAAAAAAATAATGGAAAGAAAATATTTAAATTTAAAAAGAAAGATTTAAAGATTATAAATAAAAAAATCTAATTTAAGATGTATAAAAAAATTGTTTTTCAATAAATCATCAAAAATTGATGGAACTAAAGCAATTACTTTATTTATAATAATAATTTAATTGTTGATAAGAAAATGAACTATAATGTTATTTTGCAAAGCGTGTACATTGCTTGATTCAAAATAGCAAACAAAATATTTTGTGAACTATTTGCAAAAATATTGTAAAAAATAATTGAATATACTTATTATTCCCAAAAAATAAATATGAGGTTAACGTGCGACTCTGGAGAGCAAAGATAATGAGGAAATTAATAGCTTTGAAATTGATTATTAATTAGGAGTAATTATTAAAGAACAAATTAAAGAATAAATAGATTTCAAAAGCTAGATTAAAAATGTATCAATTTAAAACAAAAACATGGCTCAACTTCGTAAAAGAAAAAAAATATATGTATAGAAAATAATAAAAATATAAACAATACTTAGTTCGAATTAGTTCTGGGTCAATATATATTTTGCTAAATATATAAAGCAATAATTGACTTTAATGAGGACCTATTACGATTGATTTACTATTAATAACCGTAGTTATATTATATAATAACTATACTGGGTTATTATAGTGGACATGGGGAAACCATCTTTGGTCATAAAATACTTCGAACGATAATAAATCCGTAATGAACGTGATATAGCTAATATTAAGTACATTTCTTCTAAATAAGTGTTTGATCAAATTACAACGATAATCATTCGAAATAAAAATCGTTTGAAATAACACAGATCTGCAAGGTTTTGTTGTCGGTCAGCCGAGAATCATTTCCGAAGTAATTATTTGCGTAGAATCGTACAAGAAGCTACTTTTTAAATTATGTACAATATTTATTTGCTCTATTCTATCTATTACATCATTCAGTACTAACTATCCTTGCAATTCAAAATACCGAAAATGGTATGATAGCGAACTCTATTTACTATAACATGGTAATAATTATCATCGACGAAAAATAAGGTCCAATCACATCTTCGACATGAAATCCACACCACACGGTCTGTGTTTCACTTTTTGTAGTTGTAATGAAATCTTTTGAAGCACATGTGGGTTTGTTACTGTCCCATAACGCATAGCGCAAAGTTAGTAAGCCAAAAATGAGCTTCACGCTGAAGATAATTTTTTGATAAAATTCATTATTTTCTTCAAACATTAGCAGAACTCAATCCAAGAAATTTCAAATGATCAAAAGGCTTCTGTCCTTGAGTTAATTTGATCTTGTCATTCTGGTTTGAGAGATTTCCAATTCCTATTCTACATTCTACATCAACGGCTATTCATAGTAACATATCAACGTCAACAAACACCCCATTTTCGTGATGAAATGAATGAAATATGGTAATAGAGCTTGAAGGAAAAAAGAGAATGACTAGGAAGAAGTGTTTTGATGGCTGCAAAAGCCGATTTGTACTCCATGTTTTCAATAAGAGCAAATTTAAATTTTTTATATTCTATTTCTGGGCAATGATTTATGATTGATACTAGTACTAAAGAAATTAATATTGGTTTCTCAACGTCCTTATTAATGTTGCTGTTTAGAGTACCAAGTACTACGTCTCGCTGTCAAGTAAGGATCTACCAAATAGTAATTTTATGTAAAATCCTATTTGCTTTAATTGTGAACGATATGATTTGCATAATGTATGTAGAGCTCTTTGAGTTACAAATACAGCTATATTATTTAATATTCAAATAATTTTAAAAAACATACTTTTTATATCTTTCTGAGATGAGATATTAACATTTTATAGTGTATATGTAAAGCCTATTGTACCATTGTAACTCAAAATTGAATGGAGATGTATAAAATTTACCGCATTAACCCAAAATGTATATTCCTTTAACGACCACATTTTATTATCTATTATCATTAACCTATAAGTTGTTAATAGGTAAAATTCTCAAATTTCACGTTAAGGATTATTATACATGGAGGAAAACATTCCCTACAGAACCTAAAAGCTCTAAATTAGCATAAAAAGCATCTCCCATATCAACTTTTATCTCATTGCTAATTCGAGATACATACATATAATATTTGAAAATCATGAATTTGACGTTTTCGACATTAAAATTGGTGCGATCAATACCTATCGCAATTTTTCCAGGGTACCCAGAGGCAATTTTTGCTAAATTTCAAACGTTGCCCATTCGTGAGCTATGATAAAAATGTTAACCTTTGCTGAAGTTTGGACGTTGACAACTCATGAAAAGCATTAAAATTCGGAAAATTCGCTACTTACGCCAGAAATGAAATACATATCGTCAATAACGCAACAACTCAAGATGCGCAATTAGTGATAAACAAAAATGAATTTCATGTAATTAAAACGACAATAGATGGCCAAATGTTTACCTTTTCATTAGGGAAAACACAAGCACTTCAAGAACCTCTCTTTGTGATTGAAGGATTCTACAATTTCAAATTAATGAATCGGTTGCATACAAAACGACAAAATAAATACATTAAAATGTTTCAATTATAGAGTTGAGTTCATTCAAAGTAAATTCATTCACTACTTCCGTTCATTTCTGTAAACCAATCCTTATTAAAATTGTGTCTTGAAAGACGGTGGACTTTCACCATAGAAAAGGCGGGCTGTGATTAATTTTGTTTTCTCTTCTATGAGGTCTATGGTATTTTAAAAATTTATTTAAAATAGCTTCTAATATTACCTTAATTGATATTAACTGTACCTTTCAATTCGTATTTACATAAATTATAACTCTACTTCATTCACAAGTTGTCTTCGATACCAGTACCACAGTTTCTCCGACCCGATAATTTTAATGAACATTTTATTAATGATTCAAACCAACAATTCTTAATTTATAGGTAGTACGCAGAGATTCATGAAATTGTACGCAAGCCAACCGTCAATTATTTTAGGTTTTTATGTTCCTTTCAATAAGAGAATGTAATCCCTAAATAATTCAATATAAAATTTTTAGATTATCGTTGTATTGTGATTAGTATTATTAGCACCTTACGTGAACTGTTATCTTCAGCTATTTAGTATTGCTATCACGTCAACATGGATAAGTGGCTAAAAGATGATCAGAAAAACAACCGTGCGCAAAAAATCGGTGGAATTTACTTCGACGTTACAATGTCCAGTAAGCAAGAAAAGAAATTATATCTGCTAGAGTTTTTCCTCCCTTCTTCCCAACTTCTGCTATTCTTTCCTTCCACTTCTTCCTAGGTCTTCCCCTCTTTCTCTTATCCTTACTCTTTGGTTTAAATACCTTTTCCACTATTGTGTTATGCTCCATTCTAATTATGTGGGCGTACCAGTTCTCCCTATTTTGCTGATTATCTCCTCTTGATCCACTCTATCCTACTTTGTCTTCCACGCCATTTCCCGTAAAAATTTCGTTTCCATTGCCGTGATTTTTCCTTCCTGTTTCTCTTGGAGTGTCCATGACTGACTGGCATATGTTAATATTGGGAGAATATAAATCGTCAATATTAAAACGCGTGTTGTTTTTTTAGAGACTATTTTAAAAAACATTATTTTCAACTTCTTTGAATATGTTCGTAATGAATCTCCAAACTTGTCCATCGATGAAAATGACTCCTTAATTGAATTGTCTTTATGGAGACTTACAAATAAAGTTTACCCAATTAGAGTTGACTGAGTTCTGGTTAAAGATTAAGAGACTTCACATCACTTAGCAAAAAAAGCGTTGACATTCTTAATCCCATTTACGATTACCTACCTCGGTGAAACTGCATTCTCCGAGTTGGTGACAATAAAGAATAAACTTGGAAATAAAATTAACCTGGACCCAAATTTACGTCTAAAATTATCTACGCTTGAACGCGACATTTCCTCACTTCTTCGAAAGTATGAAGTATTATAGATATGTTACAATTTTTACTTACATATTTGTGATTAATTACAATTTACTTGTGTCAATTCACTAAGTCTATAATAGCAAGTCTCGCATTTTTACGTGACACTGATAGATTGACGAAAACGTTCTAGATGGTTAACGTTGATAAATACTGCTGTAATCAACAAAGTTAAGTTGCTTAATTTGGGATGCTTTGTTTTTAAATTGTCATCAAAAGAAAATACTCTTTCTACAAATCCATTATTTATTGGTAATGTAAAAGCGGTTAAAGTAAATTTAGCTGTATTTGTACATAAATATACATTCCACCGACATTTTGCTGCTCTAAAAGCTTTACTGAGAGTAATTTATCTAATTTATGGTAACAAAACTGTTCCATCCATTAATGATTAATGAAAAAATTCTATTTAGTTTATTTAAAGATGAATAACAAAAAGTTACTAAATGTATCTTTAAAAATTTAACAAAAGCCAATTTTCAGAAAAAAAATAATCATAAAAAGAATAACCAGGGTTTTCTTGAAAATTTAAAACTTTCTGAATGTTTGGACTGAAAATCCGTGAAGTTATTCGTCTGTTCAACGTAAACTTCGTACTAACAAAGTTTGATTAAACTATCCAACAATATTCAAATCGAGAAAGTTTGGGGTCGACGCATTTACCATCGACATCAACTTTTAAATTTTCATAAAAATGGGAAGTTACTTAAACGGATTAAGACCGTAAAAGATTCTTTAAAAGGATTTATTTATATAAAAAAAATGTAGTGGTAAAGCCGAAAAAGGAGAAAAAAACATTCCTGTCATAATCACTTCGCCAGTTGTTTGTTTTAAGTTACTAAAACAAAGAGAGTTCTGGGGGACTCCACGACAACTTAGCAACAGCAGCAGTTCTCCCAACCGGCAAATGGCAGACGACAAATCCGGTCGTGTCTCACTGTTACCAACCGACCTTTTTACGGTACAGCTCTCGCCTCTCATTAGTCCAAGTTCTCAATAGCAGCACGAAGCGCAACCCACCGAATCGATTCATCTCGCCACTTATTCTTTTTCCACACGCGACAAAACAGAAAAAAAGAATCGACGATGTTTGACGATGTCGTCGTCCAGAATAGAAACGTGACAAATTGATTTTTTTCCGAAACCCCCTCGACAACAACGGGTTAGCAACATGCTTGGTGACATTTACTTTATAATAAACACATGATGGGTTGTTATTCTTATAAAACGAATCGATTATTAACACAATAATAGGATAGGAAGGATATAATTTATTACATATACTATTATATATTTTTTTCCTTTGAGTGCAAATCCCATTAAGTTAAAATCGATTTTATTGTATTACCACCAAACGACAAAGCTGCTTATAGTTTTGTGACACCTGTGAAAAAGTTACTTGTATGTTAAGAAAAAAACCTTTTCAAATTTAAAATTATTTTTGTTAAAGCTTGTTTGAATATACAGTCTGAAAAGGTCAAGGGCTGACAGAAAATTGGACCGAAATTGTAAGGATTTAAAAAGAGGGGAGTCACCAAGAAAAAATTTAAAAAAAAAATAAGGTCAAGATGTTCCACGTGTCAGTAATTTATTTTTTTTTCTGTAGCTTTTTCTGTTGCTCTTTAACTTCTTTTAAATTCATTTTAGCAAGAGAATAATTTGAGATTTTTAACTTACCTCTTCAGGATCGATGTAAGCACTTGGACCCAATATCACAGGATAAGGTACCGGCAAACCACGACTCTAAAAAAAATAAGAAGAAAAAATCATAATTTTATTTATGTATAATAAAATTTCATCATAATAAAATTTTTACATAATTTCTTTAAGTATTGGTTTAAAAACATAATACCTACGTTTTAAAATCGAAAAGAAATCATGAATATAACTAAATAAAGGGTACGACAAAAACATTTACATAATTCAAGGCTAAATAAAATCCATACAAAACATTTTTATTAAAAACATTCTCCACATTCATTCCAATTTGGCTTTAAGAGGTTTGATGAAGAACAACTGGCAATATTGACCCAAGATCACCAATCCAACCTTAACGATGTTAAAGAAGCTTTCTGTTTAATTAAGCTAAAATGTGCAAAAGTTGTTTGTTTAACTGACGAGGATTCTTCCTTATTCAGTATCTGACATTTTAATTATCACAGCAGCTGAGCAGAGGATGTTAATGAAGTTTCTCTACAGTTCTTCTCAATCTCCTTCATTGAGATTATTCAATATTGGTTTGTTACTGTAACTTATAGGATGGTTTCAAAAAATTGTCTGTTACTTATTAAAAAAAATCTACAATGATAATCTTGACCTACATTATATAACCCGTGGCGCATTGCTACATGGCGAATAAGTTATTCAGAGAAACCCGTTCTAAACAAGACAGATTTTATATCATGATTAGAACAAATTTTGTCAGAAGCTATCAAACCTTCAATTCTGCAAAATGGTCAAAAAAATTTAGAAAAAATACCTTGCAATATTACCGCAATCGATTTCACTAAAATATTTAATCTTACCGACAACCATCCAGCTATTAGCAAAAACTTGTGTTTTCTAGAATCGCGAGTTGAAAGAAAATCCATCATGTTAAAATTCTGAGGGTAGATGGAACAGAAATCCGATGGACCTGTTATTGCATCAACCCAAGTTACACTCTTGGGTTGGGTTGGTTGATCTTAAAGCTCAAGATTTTCAGAACAACACTCATTAAAGAAAACTGCCATACGTTACTATATGAAAAAGTCAGAGCTTAAGGTGCTACTATAATTGAAATTTTGTGTGCTGAAGATGCACTTGCTTCATGCAAAATATAGTAATCCAAAGTACAGAAAAAATGAAAAATCATTCCTTCACCTTTTTAACGAGCATTGTTTTGGATTTAAAGGAAGATACCAGAAAAGGACGAAAAAGGATACTAACAAGTATGTATATGTAAGTGTTGCTATCAGTGCATTGGGAAGAAGTCCCCATCAAGAAAATCTGAACTATTATTTTGAATACTATTGTAAAGTTTCTATAAATGTTATTTCTTAATATTATAAGTATGAAATAAAAAAGATTGAACATAGCACATCCTAGGAAATGTTCTAGAAATCCTTGAAAATCATCTATAAATCTCTAGAAACACCTAGAAAATGTTTGGAAACTCATGGAACTGTAGCGACTTTTTGAGAGATTGCTGGTCTCCTTGTTATACGTGTATCCTTAGAAACCTTTAAAACCAACTAGAAATGCTCAGATAAATAGAGTAGAGATCTTTACGATTTTTTGGAAGTGCTTGGGTGTCATTGGAGTTTGGTAAGAATACGTAGATATCTTTAGAAAAGAAAATTGTTTAAAAACTGCCTCTAAAGAAATAATAAGTCCGTAAAAAGCTCTGTATATCTTTGGAAACTTCAGATATCACTAGGAATCGGTAAAAATTTTTAAATATCTAAGAAAACACTAACATAATTTTCTTAAACTCTTTGAAAGTATTTCATTAATCTTTAAAAATCCCTGGAAGTTCCAATGACTCGTTAAGAATGTCAGAATATTTTTGGAAAGTGTAAAAAATTCAATTTCAAAATCATTTCGAACTAGTTTCTGAAGAAGGTTGCAGCATGACATCCGAAATGTCAAACGCTTTTTCAAAAGACGCACGACTTAACCCGAAAGTTTCTAGTTTTACGTCTAGTGTGAGTTCTAGTAATAACGCTAGTGTTAGTTCTAGTTTTAGTTTAATGTAAAAAAGATTTTGAAACTCTTAAAAACATTAACAAACCATTTCTAAAGGATTATGGAAATGTTCGAATGTTGTCGAAAATCTTTTAAATTCTTGGAAATGTTAAGAAATTCTCATGAAACCTTAAATACAAAACCTTTAAAAGATATCTTGAACCAATTTAAAATCACTATGAATATTTTTAGAAATATCAGATATCTGCGTAAATCTTAAGAAATTCTCGTAAAACTCTTTGAAACTTAAAAATCATTTCCAGAAGTAACTAAAAATGCTTGAATATCTTTGGAAATAATACATACTATGGAATAGATATACGGATATAATTAAGAATTCTTAGACATCCATGAAAATTCAAAGATATTCGTATGAAATCCTTGAAAACGTCTAAATATATCTGAATGATTCAAAATAAATAAGGATTGTGATATTCAACATCCACCAATTAAGTGAGTTCTAAGCGAAATTCCTATTTTTCCAAAAAAACCGTGGAATGAAGAAAAAAGGAATTGCGATATATGAAAAAGTTTGATTATTTACGAGGAACGGTTTGTCCAATTTAACCAATTCCAAGTTGTACATAATTTGCCGATTATCCCACCTCTTCAGTAATAAGTAGATAAGTGAATATAAGTGAATAAGTGAAGATAGTGAGACAGAAAACTGTTTAAGGGGATTTGAAACAGAATTAATAAATTCGTAGTGAAAGGATTAGGAAATTTATTCAGAAATTATACTAAAAAGGAAATTTATATTGCAACATAATACTAAAAAACTTTCGATTCATAAAAATGTTAGGAGTTGTATAAAAAGAGTGTTAATTTAAATAAAAGATACGATACTGTTTATAAAGTCGAATTAAAAACGCTTTGATTGGCCAAACTGATAAATATGGTAAGTAACTTACCTTAAGTAATATTTATACGCTAATTATGTAAAAAAATTAAAATGAGAAATAAGAAAGAAGTAAAATGTAAAGTTGAATCTTAAGCAACTAAAACAAAAATTTTAGATCGTCTACGAAATGGAGAAAAAGTACGATGATGTTGGAAAGCACAACTTCATATATCAGCACCTCAGAGGTAAGGTGTGTTAAGTCACATTTTTTGCGAAATGAGTTATCTCCACCATATGTATTTGTTTAAACATTAATCCATTAACTACCAACTTTTTTTTTTAATTGTATTTTGCCAAGTGAGGTACGTTAAAATTTAAAATCCCCAAATGGGGATCGTGGCAGCTAACGGGTTAAGTCCACTTTCAAATCTCTCTCCTTAACAATTTCGAGTTTGTGACTTAACATACCTTACCTTTGAGGTGCTGATATCAGAAAATCAATATATCAATAAAAACATGGAGAAAGCATTCATGATTTGGATAGTCGAATAAACTCAAAAACGGATTCCAATTGATGACAACGTTATTAAATAACAAAACCATCGTCTTGTTTATCTTAAAAGAAACAAACTTTCACAACAGGTCATGGTTGATTTGAGAGATTTAACTCAAGACTCACTTGGCACATTTTGCGATATATATGAAGAATATCCTATAGTTGTTAGCAACTAATAATATACTCCCGGATCGGGGTTTCATTGCTGATTCAGTTACTTTGGAGATATGTGTCCAAAATTCATAAGTCCAGATACTATAAATTAGCAAAAGATTGCATAATGATTCTTTTCTGTAGCAATGCAAATATTTAAATGCAAAGGTTATCATCTACAAAATATGCAGACCATTTTACTGAAGAGATATTGCAGAACTAGTGGCCAATACAGAACTAATTGTAAGTGAGGATGATTTAAGTAACGTAGAAGAATTTGAATCAGTTACATTTACAGCAAAAATTATCCGTGTTGGATTCGATTGGGAAGAAAATTAGAATACCGAAACAGTAACTTCATACTTTATTGCTAGAAATTGTAAAGAAATTCTTTGTTTTCTTTATGTATAGTGCTATAAAGTTTAGGAATAAGTATTAAACTGTTTATTTTCAAAGTAACGTAGGTCCATTTACCCATAAAGAGATGTTTTAGTAATTGTTTATTTTTAAAAATGAATTACGTCACTTTCAACATATACATATGTATTATATTATAAAACCAACTTTCGATTTGTTTATTTGCATTTCGATAAACACTTTGTTACGTTTCTATTTGAGTTTTATTGTAAATACATAAAATACGTTATAATCTCGTGGTATCAATAATTTAATATTTCGGCAAAAATATACTAATTTTTGTAAACAATCTTTTTTAAATCTCACGCAGATATAAGTCAAAATACAAAGGTTTAGTGTTTACCAAAATTTGGTCACATGGGTTACCATAATGATTCACAGTGGCCATATTTGGTACACATGCTCGTTAAGTGCTAATTGCGGATCTAAATATTATTCCTGAAATATAATACGTAGAAAGTATCCTAAAATATCATCCTAAAACATCTTCTCGATATCTACTTAAATCAGTTTTTATTGTAAGTATGGAAACGTAAGGAAACGATGGAATAAGTATGGTTTAGTGTATTCATACGATCTTCGTATACATTCTGAGGTAAACAAAATACCCTTCGACATTGAATTACCTGCCCCGTGATGGACGTGTCGGTATAAAGTACGGGTTGAGTTACGTGCCTGTCACGAACGTGGACAGATACACGCCGCGTTTTCCACGTTCAGAAGGAAACATTGAGAATGAGAGAGAAACTGTGTACAATAAAATGTGTGTGTAGCCGTCGCAAGAAACGGCGAGAAATATGTTTTGCGGTATTTGACATTTTAAAAAATGTTTTTTGTTGAGATTAAATTGGATAGAAAAGAATAGAGATAAAAAGAAAATTTGAAAGCGAGAAAGAATTTCATTTTGCGGGAGTTTTTCTGGACTTTTCTTTGCGGACTATCTATAAATGGATATAGCACCGAGAGCGTTCTAGAAAGGCTTAGTTTACGATCTACGGGGATTTAAGATAATCTAATGGAATACTCTCAAAGATTGATTTTCCAAAATAATTTTTTGAACAAAATTTTAAACAAACATTCGTACAAAAATAAAACTAAATAAACTTGTTATTAGTTGTACAAATATCCGCGTTAAAAACACAATACCCGAAATAATATTTAACAATAAACGGTTTGGTAAATAGTCGTCCTTACAAATAGGATATGATAATTATATACGGTTGCTATTTCGACTGATTGTGTAACGGTGCAAACCCGCACAATTTGAAGCGGGTTACAAAAAACAAGTCAATTTTTTGTCGACTTACGAACTCTCAATAATATCATTGAAATTCATGTCCTTGTTAAGTTACCGTCGATTATAATTAATTAATGGCGTGACTTTACATAGGAAAAAATAGACTATTAAAATTATTTTTAAGTTGCGGTTGCGATAAAAATAGATGTTTTTCGCTTAAAATTAGCATTGATTACGATATTACAAGTTTGAATGAAAATAATACAACAAATGGCGTATGAATTGACTCATAAATTCTTATTAAAAAAAATATTTTTAAATAGAACAAAAACAATAATGACGTTAATAAACTTCTACTGAAAATAACTAACGTAGCTTTACCTAATAATTACAATATTATACATTGTGTGTTAATAGTCGTTGTGCAATTATTTATAACTAAAGATGCAATATTTGAAAAAACAACAATATTTTAATAGAAATCAAAGTATTTCAAGAAATCGTGTAACTATAAAGATTAAAGTTTATATAAAAATGCTAATTTTCTGGCTTTTTCCACTCCTCATTTGTTGCACACTTAGAGTGAACGAGCCCAAATGTTGCTCTCTATTGAAGCTGAAGAACAAATAATACATAAGCATTTTTTTTAATGTTGGAACAATATCAGGAAAGTTCTTTTGTAAACTCTAGATATAATTTCCTTGCAGAAAATGTTTTCATTTTCGCCAATAGCTTAACTATTAGTGGTACCAGTATTAGCGTACGTATCCCTAAGTGTGTTCATAGCTTCATGGTACATAGCAAAATTTCTGCAAAACTTGTATTTGAGACAGTAATAATTCCAATTTTTCGTCAAATGAACTTCCTAATTTCTTCCACACTTCTACAGCATCATATAGAGAAGCACCTTTTTTGCTATTTGTCAAGTCCCCGGGGTATTGGCTTTAAGATATTTAAGTAATCTTCTGTATTGGGATCAATATTAGATACTTTTTGGTATATATTTAGGATCAATTTTCTTCATTCACATACTTTTGACAGTTTTTCCCATTGACTTACATGCACTTACAGACAATCCACCATACTGTTCAATCATCAAATGGTTTTAGTTTCGGCAAACCTAATATTATTTTTGCAATTCGCTAAACATTTAGGATTCAACCAAATTGATAAGTAATCTTCCCATTCATGATTTTTTGAGAGGCTTCATAAAAGATTCCTTAATCACTAACAGAAACTCTCTACAGTTGATAGTAACATCCCTAATTTTACTGAATCGCAGCTTTTTGTTTCAAAAAAGATTTAGGTTGTTACGCTTTCCAAGAAAATTTTCTCTCTATTCTTACAACTCCATTGATGTTGAACGTGTCCTTTCTAATTGGTATTTCTAGCCACTTTTTAAAGAAAATCATCGTCAAAATAAGTGTTAAGGAGCAACAAGTAGAAAATTATATAGAAATACATGGATAGCGTTATGGTCAATGTAATGCAAAAATTCTACTTACACTTTGACAATCAAGATCTGGCAGAAAATGTATGGATAAACACAATTTTTATAAATATATTTTTACAAAGAATTAGATCTGTAGATTTACAAATCCTGCCTGACCCAACCTAACAAGATCCAACCCTACCCAACTGAACCCAACTCAACCAAACCCAACCCAACCTAACCCAACCCCATACCTTCAATCAACCATAATACACCACATAGAAAGAGAATAAGGAAACAATCTGAAATACCTCAAATACAATTAAAATAAAGCCGTTTATAAGAAAAAATAGTTGAGAAAATAAACATACAATCTAAACAGATTTGGAGATACAATTTTCCTGGATGGAAAGCGAAACAGACAAATATCAGCCTAAATCAAGGTTACAAGATGTAATAATTGCTACAAGATGGCCCAATAATATCTGAGTCAAACTAAATCAAGCCTGACTTTTATACCCATTCACGTAGTCAATCGTATCACAGATATTCATTTTTAATTTAATTTTATAATCATTTTTTTCATATACTATATTTGAAATTATAAAATCTACCTTATAATTATTACTTACTTGCACTAATTCCAAGATATGTTGACACTTTTCCCTGACATTATCGAACGGACAGCTAACGGACAGGCGTAGTATAATGGGCAGATGCAAAGAGACCAGTTCGACGTACTCCTGAGGTATTTTCGCGGTCAATTCGGCTGAACAAGCGCACCCGTTGCAGAAGTTGCTTCTCAAGCGAATTCTATCGTCCAAACGATAATGTTTCGGACTACCAACACCATCCAACCATCCCTCGACCGTTTTAAAGATCATGTCGAGCGCGTCTTCGCGTATTTGACTGTCTTTCGAGCAGATCGGCATGCAGAATCGATGTGTCAGGTCCAGGTCTTGAAGTATGTGTTCAAAACTGACTACAGCCGAGGACGCGTTCATTCGACGATGATGATGATGGTCGGATAGATGATCGTTGTTATTGTTAGTCGCTGCTTTTGCAAATTCAGCTTGGACGAACATTTTTCTTAGCAACTTCAATAAGGCAACGTGAAATTTTGAAAAAAATATATTGTTATTTTTCTTGTTAATTTGTTGAATCTGAATCTGAAAGGAGTGTTGTGAAAAGTTCTTCTTTTCTAATTTGCTTTATATTCTTTTGTTTTCTTTTTGTTTGTTCTTTCTTTGGGTTGGATTTAGGAACTCTTCGGTTTTTCTCTTTGTCGATTTTGCGGGGTGGAAAAACCTTTTCTGAAACAGAGTGAAATAGAAAATTTTCCAAGAGGTATATTTTTAGTACGAGGTTAACCGTTTTATTGTCCGTGCGGCTTTCGCACTTATTGATTTAGCGATTGGGTACGATAACTTAATAGAGACAGTTTATGTTAATTGACGGAAATAGACTCGGTATATAAAAAATACACAGCTGTGTGCTGGTGACTATTTTCTTTCATTACTCATCTAGAATTATTGTTAAACAATAAGAAATTTATTTTAAAATGGGATGTTATTATGGAAATGCGAATCTCATTTCATCTAAAAGTACTAAATCCAGCACGCTTAAACGGCTATAAACCGACGTCGTTAAGCATACAGAGAGATAAGAGCTAAGTGCTAAGTAGATTTAGGGAGTAGGTCGTGCCATCCCATAAAGGACGAATTACCATATTTTGTGGGTGATATGTAACGATTTCAAAATTAATTGCGTTTACGTGATCCTTTAAACCAAAAATATGGAAAAATTTCGATTTTAATTTATACTTGTTATACTCATTACTTCTAATTACATTTTATATTGTATCTTGATGACTCATCATGTATAGAGAAAGTTATTTGAAATACATAAATTCCTAATAATTCATATAGTTAATAACGGTTCGGATCTTAATAGGATTTCCCGCAACCTCTAAAACCGCAACCAATCATAAAGACCGATTTTTCATTTCATCAATTCGAAAGTTAATCTAAACTAAGTGTTTCTGTTGTCTTAGAACTTTCTAGTAGCGAAAAGTCTCGTCTATTCGACCATTTCGGGTGACGATTTCCACTTTAGAAATTTTAAAATACTTCGCAATTGACATTGTTAAAATTACTTGTTAAATTTAAAACATATTTTTAGGTTCAATTTTATTTAAAATTTGTTGTAAATGAAATTATTAACATTTTAAAAAGAAAAAAATTTAAATTTGATTCTTCTTTCAATTTCGGTTAAAATATGGTAAAGCAGAAGTGTTTTTTGCGGAAAATTTAGGAATTAATTCTGTATTCAGGATTATTCTTGAAGACGCTTTAAGTGAAGTAATAAACTGGAAAGTCCAGATGTTGGTTCTCAAGCTGTACCACCATCAACAACAGTATCAGAAGTAAATGACGCTATAGAAACTCTACCAACAAGAGAATGATGTGGTTGAATGGATTGCTTCGAGATCTTGAAGTTGTACATAAGTATAAATGAATCACCGCTAGGAAAATTTAATAGCGACAGTACGAATTGTTACTATGGTGTAAGAGTAATTGTTTATTGTTAATTGTATGACCATAAGAAATAAAATAGACAAAGCACACGACATAAATATACAGTGCTGTGAAATAATAGGTGCGAGTCTATTTATGTAATTTTATAATAAAAATTTTGGAATTAATCTTTTCTTTCTATGACAACTTTAGTTTTAAGAAACCGTTGGTTTTAAAACTATTAATATTATTAGCTATTGACTATTATGACATTTGAAAAGCATCAAAAGGTTAAAAATAATCTAATATCACCACTATGACCAGTCAACTAAAATGGCAAAACAAATTATGAGAGAGGCAAAAGTAAAATAGATTTGTTCGTATCAGGTAAGGTTATTGGCTTCGAAGTATTGGCATTCGATAGGTAAAGAATTTGATCCATGGTTTACCAGAAAAGAAATAACATGGCGAAAAAAGTTTTTCTGGATCTTTACTGAATCTTTTTGTAGCACATGTAGAAACGAAACTAGAATTTATCTGGAAAAAAATTAAAAAAAAAAAAGCTGTAAACTTACAAAATGGTATATAACTCCACCTAAAGATTACCAACCCTAAAGAAATTTATTTAGATCTTAAGAACGTGAACGTTATTACTCTAAATGACTTCTTATTTTAGGAAAATTAGCAAATATTTGTAACACTACAACGTCGATATCGGTCTGCTACTCGCAAAGTTGTATCTTTTGGTGAGAATCAGCTGCGCCATCTGTTGACGTCACGCAGTTTCATATTAGATGGTATGAATTTCTGCTTTTATCGATGAAAATTTACTTCGACACAACTGCAGTTGGTGGAACAGCTTAAATTTAATATCATTGTATGTTCATGAACAAAATGAGTGCTTAAAACTTGCAGATATCATCCTTATAAATATCATTTCCTTGTTAGGTATATTTATAATTTGTTTTTCGAATTCTACCACCATTCTCTGGGAGAGCGTTAATAATTGTTTGTAATTTGCATTAAAAACATTATCTCCAACAACAAATTAAGTTAAAACGACAACCAAAAGCTATTAAAACTTCAAATACAAAGCTTGTATGGTGGTTTTAAGATAAATATCCGAGTTAGTAAATGTTACAGGATTCTCTTTTCTGTATTCTTAAGGATTTTGATGAAAAGGTTTTTATTACAATTCCAAAAAATTTTGTAGAAAAATGAGTAACTGCTATTTGTTAATTAACCCCATTTTCAATTAATATGAAACTGAAATTGAAGAATTATTTACAAATCTATAAAACAATAATTTTATAAAGAAATTTAAATTGAGTGTAAACTAACCTTGAATTTATTTAATACCTTAAAAAGTTTTATTTTTGAATTTCAAAGATTCGAGAACTCTTCAAAACATTTCTTCTTTAGTGTTATTTTCTAAAAATGTAAATTCAATTTAAAAATTTGAAAAACAACTTTGTTTACCTCGTCTCTTACTTAACCTCAAACAAGTTTTAATAAGATCTAATTTAATAACCAAATCTTTAATAACAAGTTTCATTTCTGAATTCGTAACTATGTTGTACAAATTTGTTTAACGTTAAACAAATATCAAATTAAAATTACAAATTTTAAAATTAAAAAAGTAATTTGTAGAAACGTCAAATTTGACGTAACCTAACCTCAAACATTCTGTTATAACCTCAAAAAGATATTTAATAATAAAATGTTTCATTTCTGAATTCCAAATTATGTTGAATAAATTTGTTCAATATTAAACAAATATAAAATTAAAATTACGAATTTTAAAATTAAAAAAAAATTGTTCTTAGAAACGTCAAATTTGATGTAACCGAACCACAAACATTCTGTTATATCCTCAAAAAGATATTTAATAACCAAATCTTTAATAAAATGTTTCATTTCTGAATTCTAAACTACGTTGCACAAATTTGTTAAATGTTAAACAAAATCAAATTAAAATTACGAATTTTAAAATTAAAAAAAAAAAATTGTTAGAAACGTCAAATTTGACGTAACCTAACCTCAAATATTCTGTTATAATCTCAAAAAGATTAATTAATGACATAAATTTAATAACAATTATCAAGAAGTAATTAGATTTTCCAAAAATGGCAAATACTTATTAAAGGTAACGTTTAGGTTTTACACAGCTATTTCGAAAGTTTTACTTTTACTTTGATTAATTCTAGAAAATTGTTAATTACAAAAAACTAAGTATTGATTTTTAACCAAAAATAGTTAACAAGGAAGCTCATTTATCGTGAGTACTAACATTAAATTTTTTTCTAAGAATAATAACGTTTTAAAATGTTATTAATAAGGAGTAAAATTGTACTAAATTATGATTATTTTAGAGAACATAAGGAAAAATTAAACTTTATGAAGATTGTAATGTATTAAAAAGTGGTTAACGTATTTTTTTCTGAAAATACACTTAGAAATACATGGAATTTATAATTTATTACTGAGTCATAATTAAATGGAGAATCCAAGACCTACCTCAACACAAACGCCGGTAAAGAGGAGACGTCGCCGATGATAATAAATAGTTTATCATATGCAAATTGGAATTATAGTTGAATTATTGTGTTGTTGATTGAAAAGCGCGCGAGCTTAAGAACAAACTCCTTTTTTTATTAATCAGGAAACAGAAACGGAACAGAAAACTCTCTGCGACGAGCTCTCGGTACGGATTTTTCCGACGAACTGCTGTTCAACCGTCGTCGGACCGTAGCAACAGTGGCCAAGAACCGGCTTGCACAGTCAGTGGCATGCGCGGCCCGACGAACAAAGACCAAAAGATTTTCCTAACCTCAAACTAGTCGATCGACATCGAAAACTCCCCGAAAAAAGGGGCCCCCTTTCGATTCCAAATCAACCCCTCATTTGGGGGGGAAACTCTACTTACCTACTCTTATTCGGACGCGAATCTTTTTCGTTTACTGTTAAAAACTAACGGGATTCGGACACGCGCGCCCCGTATACAAGACGAAACAAGTTCGTTCGTGTTCCGTTCCGTTCTCCGCCCCACTGAACCTCAGCTGGGACCAGACTGCTCGGTACCGCTCGATAGATACGCCGTTTGACAATGAACGGGCACCGAACCGAACGTCTCCTTCTCTCAGCTGACTGACGCCCAGTAACAGTAACACCAGTAACACCGTTGTTATTATTATTCATTGTGTGCCAAAAATTCTTACGCAATATTTCTCTTAAAGACAGTTTTATATCAAGTGTTAAATTTAAAAAATAACCATGACAAATTCTTGTAAAAAAGAAATAATATACTCTTAGTTCTTGAAATAATTATATTTAGAAATTTTAACAAAAATAATCTGGCTTTAGAGATCTAAGAGAACACCAGATGTTAAACGTCAAAATCAGCTGATCTATCTCAACATGTTTTTGGTGAAATCATCAGTGTATATTGTTTCATTATTAGAATCTATCCTTCAATACAAGTTCAACCATATGTAACACAGGATTTGATGTCGTCAAAAAGGTCATAGAATGCTATTATGCTTTAATTTGAATTCTGGTATTTTACATTCCTCCGTGATTTTCGGGAAATTAAATTAGATAATTCGTTGCCTAAACTCTGCAAAATTTCCAGATTTAGTTTTATAACTCGACTTTTCAAGTATTCCTAATAACGTAGTCCTTAAGATTTCTGGTGTTGTGGAATTGGAGAACCAATTCATTGCCCAGAAAGTACTTTATTTAGACAACCCCGAACATTTATGCCAAAATGAGTTGAAACTTCGTTATGCTGAAACCATATCTGATCCAAATTGGGTTCAAATACAATATAATGTAATTAGAATGTTCGACGTGATTTTGTCTATAATTTGTTCCAATCAGCCAGGATAGCAGCGCAATACTTTTTATTTATCCGATACATATTTCATTGATTTTTTGGGAGATTTGGGAAACAAGCAAATTATTTCAGTACAGGATATGTGAATATTTGTTGTTTCTGCGTACAAATTTAGTAATTTATTTTTGGTTGGAAATTTAGGACATTTTTGAGGAAGTAATAAAAATTTGTTGAGCTTGGTGAGATTGGCCTTTATTTAAAAAAATTAAAATTTATACACTGCGAAGTATCATATTGTTGCTTCATGCTTTTTTAACATGAGTTATATAATGTTGCTTTGTAATAAGTGTTAAGAAGAAATAAAACGATTTAAATAAACTTAATAATCATTTAATTGAACACGAGTTTGATATATTCCGAACATTCATGGTTAAGTTTCAAGATCATTATTACCGGATACAAAACAACATAGAATTATGGCAATTATAAAACATAGATAATGGCGATGCATAACAACCGACGTCCTAATAACAACGTTATATAGCCCTCTATTACACTCGGGCATAGCAAATAATTAAGTCAGCCAATTGATTACAGTGGTCGAATAACTGATGTGATACAAATTAGAAGATAAAATAAAGAACATGTTTTATTACTGGTAATATTAAAGAATATAGATAATGAAACGGAGAATACAACCTTATAAATCTAAATAAATCACTATAAAAGTTAAACTTCGTAATTAATGTTCTGGGATTAATCATAAAACCTATATTTGGCATCTATAGCCCAAAATGTAAAATGTAAAGTACGATAAACTGATAAAAGAATTAGGAGTAAACCAACAAGAAATGACAACGCTAATGCAAGACCAGATTCATTTATTCCACGAAATCCTTAACCAAGAAATTTAACCTGACAATTCTGATGCAAGCAAGAGTCTCAGGAATACTACGAAATGATAAGACACCTTCCCATATCAAGATGTACCCACTTAAGATTATCATGGACCACTCTACCGGGTTAGAATGAATACCGGAATCAACTATCAAACCCAACAAAAAGTTCGTCAATTACAGAGTAGCCTATTGGTTCAGGTTCTGCACTATAATATTGTATAGGAAACGCAATGAATTAGTAATTAATGTAATAGAACTAAACAGGATATATCATGAATTAAGAAGAAGCTGTTTCGGTAGATTAAAGAAGCTGAATCGAAATGATTCTAACCAAACGTAAACAACTCAAGAATACTTAACGAAGATGGTTGTGTTAATGATTTTGGTGTCTTCTGAAAATTGTTCTTTTTACTTGACAAGGACGAATAACTTTAAAGAGTTAAAAGGGATGTTTTTCAGAAAAGTCAAAGAATTTAGAATTAAGGAAACTCTGATTGGTATGAATCAAAATGATATAAATCCACAAAAAGAACTCTATGATACTTAATAAAGACGAAAGAATAATAAAAATTGATTTTGAAGATATTTGAAACTGTTCCAAAAATATAAGGAAATAGAAAACATTGAATGGTGTGTGTCAAAATGGTTCAAATCGATTGTAAATATTCTCAGATTAATCAACAAAGATAAAACAAGTTTTTGAAAGTATTTTAAATTTACCACGAATTAAAAACGATTGATTGGGGTGTGCCAAAATGGTTCTAATCGACTAAAAACATCTCAACAATATTTAACTAAGATGTTGGAATTAAAAAAAAAAGATTTTTAATGTTTTTTTGAAACACACTGCGAAATAAATATGTTTCATGGCATACGTCAAAAAGCTGCAAATCAATTGGAAGTAGCTCCAGATTGTTTGGCAGAGAGGAAATAAGTTAAAAATATTTAAAAGGGATGTTTATAAGGAAGAGTTTGAAGTTTCAAAGATTTCAGAAAATGGAGAAAAATAATTGGTGTAAGCCAAAATGCTTCTAATCGATTGGTAATATCTTGAGGAATTGCTATTTATTGTTAATAGCCATTTGTGGTTATTTTACACTTTTTTGTCTCTTATTCGATGAAACAAGGAAGCAATACATTAAGAATTTAATAATTGCAAAAGAGAACAACAAAAAATAGATACTTAGCCCAAAATTTATTTTTAAACTATTCTAACAAAGGTGCAATAACTACTCCACGTAACAACTCTTTCGAAACACTAAAACAATCACGTTTACTCAGAATGTTTAGCAACTCGCGAAGTGATTAATGTTATAGCACACCAATTTACAAACAAATCATTAATGTAATGAGAATTGCTGCCGATATTTTATAAAAAATAGGTTATGAAAAATTATCAACTCATTTGTATTTCTACTACATTCTTAAGGATATTTATGAAAGCTTTAATATTATAATAATAATATTACTTTACAGTGGTTTATGTTATGGCAAAATAATCTTATATCCACGTAGGAATTTGATTCAACGCAATCAATGCTTTGAAAAATTATTGAATGAAAAAGCTAAAAACAAAATCGAATGAAAGTTTTCTGTTCTAACAAACAACATTTTCGTTTTTCTTTAACACTTTATAGTGAGATCAAATAATCATTAATAGCCTCATAATTCTTAGAACCACTTTGCTATAAGATTTAAAATCTAAACTATCCGATCCACTAAAAAGATGTTTAAGGTTAAAATCAGCTGACGTTTCAAACACGTTCCTTTCAAGACAAGAAGTTTTTTTTTTTTAAATATACTCGCCCGTTTTAAACGAGCTGTTGCCTGGCGTTAAACTTTTTCCGCGAAGATAAACGTTTAGATTATAGGATCGAAAAAATAAAGAAATTAAGGAGGAAAATATTTATTTATAGGTTTCGGCCTCCCGCGTCTTAATATAAATATTTTTTAAAACGACCGCCCCTCGAAAGCAACCCAAAAAAATAGCCGGATTCTTTTCGTGCCTACGTTAAGTTCTCGGTATTTACTTGGCCGGCCCTTGGGCCACTTCACGACATCTTAAAGTTGCTGTTTCAATTGCACCTATTAAAGCAGCGCGAATACCTGAAATAAAAAAATCAATATTTTTAATATATTTATAAGTATAATGTTATAATTACCTTTTTGTTCTAAAAAGTGTAAACCGGCTGCTGTTGAACCAGCAGGAGATGTAACATCGTCTTTTAAAACTCCTGGGTGAGTTTTGGTTTCTTTTACCATTGTACTAGCTCCTAAAACAGTTTGTGATGCTAAACGATAAGCTAAATCTCTTGGTAATCCCATTTTAACACCACCATCAGCTAAAGCTTCTATCATAATATAAATCTTAAATAAAAATAAAATAATTACAATTTTTTTGATAATAAAAGATATAGTTTTACATAAGCTGGTCCAGATCCGCTTAAAGCTGTTATTGGATCCAACATATATTCAGTAACTTCATCACAAGTTCCGATTGATTCTAATAATTTTCTGGTAACCTTACCATCCTCTTCAGTTGCTTTTGAACCACAAACGTAAACGGAAGCACCCGATCTGACTAAAGCTGGAGTGTTTGGCATAACTCTAATTACACGAGATTCACCAGGAAGGTACTAAAATAGGATTACATAAAGCTTTATTTTTTGATTTTATGTTGAGTGATTACCGATTCTAATTGTTTAATGGTAACTCCCATGGCTATGGAAAGAAATAATTTTCCAGCCGGAACTTTTGCTTTGGTAATATCTGCCAAAGCAATTGGAACTACTGATGGTTTAGTTGCAATTATCACAACGTCTGAGTTTTGTACAACGGGGACATTCTCAAAAATTGATTCGGCTCCTAATTCCTAAAAAAAACTTAGAATATAGAAAGTTTCAAAAAATCGATTCTTAACTACTCTATTAATTAACGTTAAATTATTGAATCCAAGCCTATAACAAAACATATTTCTGAAATTAATAGATTCTCAAACCTGCCCACAAAATCATAGTCTATAACCAGAGATAAATATCTGACTCATACTCAGTCTCAAATCACTTCATTTATAGTTTTACTTGCCATCACACATATTAGTCGATTATGTTATGGTTATAGACCAAATTCTGGATTTAGGTTCACATCAATATATGAAGCCTTTAAAGCTTCTCGAAATATAACCCCTTGTTTCCATCAAAACGAACTATCATTATTCTTCTCTCTATCTATATATTCTATATACATGATGTGTTAACTGGTGATGACACTATTGGTGAAACTATAAGCATACACACATAAATACTAATAGAAATGCTGCTCCTAGGTATACTCCTTATTGGCTACTTTTACAAAAATAATATGTTTCAACAACAACAAAGTTGGCCAAGATCTATCCCTAGTCTGATTGAAAAAGGGTGAGGGTTGAGGAGCGATGATGATAGCATGATGAGCCAGATGATAGCACCCTAAGCAGCCTCAGCTGCTCTTCCAGGTTGAGGGTTGAAGTAATGAGCCTACAACCCATTATTCGGAAAAACATAAACCAGTAAAAAATTCCAGTAATCAAGCTTGGAACTTAGGTGAAATTTCAGGAGCTAAGAGGAGAATTACAGATCACTTAAAGTATGAAATAGGGAATCGATATTGCTGCTGTTACGGAAACGAAGAAGAAAGGTATCCATATTTATAGTGCAAGGTAAAAGCAAGTAACCCTATTAACCAGTAAAAAACGAAATAAATTATTCGATTGAGAAGCTGCAAATGAAAGAATTGTGACTGTAAATCTTAATCTGAGGGACACAGGACAATGGTCATCGTTATGTATGCTCCAAACGAAGCCTGCTTTTCGATCCACTACTAATACATCATAACATACGTGACAGAAACAAGACCACATACAAGCAGGCGTATTATTGGTAGAGTAATGATGAGAACAGACGAGATATCAGACAAGAATGCGAAATACACGACATAGTAAGATGGGTGCTTTGGGTTCCCTCAGCCAGCAATACTCCATTTTTCCGCGATACGAATTACATCGCAGGACAACCGTAATTACAAATTTGCCCTATCACGAGGGCTTGCCATAGAAGAACTTTGCTTCAAGTAGGTAAATGCAGATCGACTTTTTCCACCTCTCCCACTTAATCCAGCCTTGCCAACGAGAACTCGTAGGCCTGGTTACAAAGGGGATATGAACTTGCTCAAGTTGCTACAAAAAATATAAAAATAAAATAGCATAAGAATATAGTTTGTAATTATATTCGTCCTGCGAAGAATTCATATTTAACATTGTTAACACAAATTGAGGTTGTTTTTAACTCCTAGGAACATTTAGCGATTTAATGCCGAATTATACCTACATTTTTAATATTGCGATCTTTCTAATAAATTTTTTTCGAAATGTTTATAATAACCGCACGGGAACAATTTAAAGTTATCCGCTTTTGTCCAATAGCGGACGAGTTTGATTNTGATGATGATTGCATGATGAACTGGATGATAGCACCCTAAGCAGCCTCAGCTGCTCTTCCAGGTTGAGGGTTGAAGTAATGAGCCTACTACCCATTATTCGGAAAAACATAAACCAGTAAAAAATCCCAGTAATCAAGCTTGGAACTTAGGTGAAACTTCAGGAGCTAACAAAATTGTGAACTGAGGGGGCACAGGACAACGACAATCGATATTTATGCTCCAAACGAGTTTTTCGAAAGACTAGATCCACTAGCGACGCAATATTTGTTGTCAAACAAATATTCGAAGAATCCCTAAAATTTAACAAACCTGCGTACATGTACTTTGTCGATATACAAAGGCTTTTGACAGATTGCGCTTAAATGATGTCTTATAAATAATGAGAATAAAAAGGTCTAAATCATGGGGTAATTAACCTAATATACGACACTAACACCCAGTATAAAACAAAAATCAAAGGACTCACTGGGCCCCTTCATATTAAATCTGATGATAGATAAAATAGAAAACCTACCCAGAACAGCTGGGTTAAAGATGGAAAACACGTTCTTCCATGCCGTCATGAATGAATATATGGTGACGATGAATTTTGAGATTGTTAAGAAGAACACACCTTCATACCGAAAGTATAATCAAAATATATAAAACGGCTATAATACATCATAACATACTTGACAGAAATAAGACCAGATACAAGCGGGACACAATAAATGATGAGAACATTCGAGATGAAAACATGAAGTATATGAGGCAAAACTCAACACACGTGAATACGAAATGAAGATATTAGACACCAATGCGAAATACAAGACTTAGAAAGATGGGCGAGACAGAAACGAAGACTCTGTGAAAAACATATAAAAGAATGGAAGACCACATTAAATACGCAAAAATGACTAACCCAGTAGGAAAAATCACAAGAAAGACCATCAAAACGATGACGAGAATGTTGGACCTCATCTTCCGGGAGGACGGGTTAGCAATGAACAAGCAGTACCCTACCAGTATGGATATTACTCAAGCACACTAGTTTAACACAACGATTTACGCTCATCAGCTTCCCTCAGCCAGCAACACTCTATTTTTTCGCGACAAGAATTACACCGCACGACAAACGTGACTAATGAAATTTACCCTACCACGAGGGTTTACCATAGAAGAACTTTGTTTCTACGAGAATTCGGCCTTGCCAACGTGAATTCGTAGGCTTGGTTACAAAGAGGATATGAACTTGCTCAAGTTGCTGCAAAAAATGTAACGATAAAATAGCATTAAGAATATAGTTTGTAATGATAGGAGGATTCTTCAGTAATATAACTTGCAACATTTTTGGCTACGAAGCGTAACCTGCTACCAGAAATAGTAACATTTATGATCTTCTTGGATAGTATTGTCAACAATATACAGGGTGTGTCAAATATCTGGAATATAGCCAATAACTTCGCCATTTGTGGTTTTAAAGAAAAATTTTTGGCGATACTTCGTGTTTACATTGTTCCTTGTTTCGTTGCTATGGCAACCAACATTGTTATTATAAATGGGATGCATATGTTTTTTTTTTGCACATTTTAGTAGAGGATATCATATGTTTGTATTAGAAAAAAATCGAGAAAAAATGCGTTCTCTGAAAATATTACTCAGCAAATTACAATCAAAGTAGGCGCCGAAATAACGCCATTGACAGCTTTAAATGTCAAAGTCTTTAACAACAAGGAATCCAAATATTAATAATGTATGGGTACAATGCAGGTGATAAAAAACGCAGTCAAAGTGAAGTTTGTACAAAACAATACAAACAAGCAAATTTTGCCCCAAAATTCTCCATAATTAATAAAGAAACTTGTATTTGAAACATTTTTCTTTAAAACCACAAATGGCGAAGTTATTGGGTATATTCTAGACATTTGACACACCTGTATATTTCAATTGGGCTTCGTCAAGATGTCTTTTCCAGATATTTTACTGTCAAACCAAGCTCTAAAGTTCAATTTCCTGGTTTTTCATATGCTTCTCAAATTGAATAAAAGGCTATAATTGTTTATATTCGCGTAGTGTCACTTTTTGGAGAAATTCTTCGATAAATGTTGAGACTAAATAACAATAAAAATAACGTATGAATAAATTTTGATCTGCAAGATAAGAAATGGTATAAATAACCCTTTTACTACAGCAACAACCGGCAAACTAAGAAGTGTTAATGTTATTCTCATGCAAAGATTTAACTTTTCAGTTGAAGTTAAAAGATTTGGCCGATAATTTTTCTGATGAAACAGATTCTTTTTTTTGCATCTGATAAGTTTGGCAGCGATTGTAAACCGCCTGATGAAGAAGTTCTTGCCAAAGGTAGCTAAAAGATTTCCAAAAAGCAAGTTAAACAACTTAAGGAAAGCTGAACTGTACATGAAATAGAGACAATTTTCCGATTTTAAAGAGGAAAATGACTTTGATTGTTGTGAGTTGTATATTTGTAAAGAGAAAGCGTTTTTCATCACATTCTAATAAACCATGGTCTAATGAAAGATGCGTGGGATTCATAACTAGGAATCAATGAATCCATAACACGCAACCGCTGTCCTTCTCTCGAAAATGTTTATACTCTAGTTGAGAAATCATAAAATTGTAATAAAATCAAATATATATTTCTTACTTTATTCCTTTATTACTTATGATTCCTGTCATAAATTGTTGTATTTTATATAATAAAAGAAACCTCAAAACATCATCAATACTATGAACTTTATCTTGATACATGTACAATGTATCAGAGCGTAGATACTTCAAATGTGCTAAGAGACAAATTCAAATTGTTTGAAACTGTTTCGCATTATAGTCGCTTTTCAATAAACTTTTGTACTTTTATCAAAGAAGCTGGGATATTTATGGTCACAGTTGTCAATTGCGATTCAATGATAAGTTAAAATTAGTGATAATATAATAATAATAATAATTGATAATATATACACAAGTAATTAATTATTAACTAATCCATGAAACTGATATCCTTTACGAGGTTCAAGAGTCCTATTCGCACGTTCAAAGATTCTTGTTTTTGCTACTTTTCAAGTTGTTTAAATATTGTAGTTAAAGACAGTACAGAATCCGAATTAATTGCAAAATAATTAAAGTTAATCTAGCTTCACGTTTAGTATTAAATATACTAATAATACAATAACCATTTCTGTTTATAATTTATACCATTTAAAGTTGTATTACTAAAAAAATTTACTAACTTTAAAAGCATTATGAGAGATCATATCACTTGGATGGCAACTAGCAGTCATAGATTCCCCTTTACTTAATCCTAAAACGATAATAAATTATTTGTTATTTATTTATTTTACAATTCTTAAATTTACCTGCTGATATAAATCCTTTTGCCATAGCTTGAGCCATTTTTCCACCACCAATAAATCCAATTTTAAGCAGTTTGCTAGCCATTTTAAATACTTAAAAAAACACTTTTATAAAACTAACTGTTAAAATCAAACATCACAAACGTTCAAACAGCGACTAGAAGTAGCGTTCGTTATCATGTTATTCGCCAGAAAAGTTTCTATCTCAAGTAGAGTTTGTACTTATCATATCCCCACGGTCTTTTTCAAAACCAATAAATCAGATGAGGTCAAAGTATGCATAAATGTGTTTATTTTGGACGTTATCTACAATTTTTGATGCAGAGTTAATAACAAATCTGTTGATTTTTTTTTTTTTTCGTTATGAGCCACAATTAAAAGTCATTAATCGATTGGAATACTAACAAAGATTAGATAGAACAATGAAAATGTTTTCTTTTTTCCTTCTACCTAATTGGTAATGTGCAAATTACAAAGTTCAAGAACTATTTAAAGACAAAAAGTTGTTAAATACTTACTACTAGATTATAGTAGTTGTTATCAAAGTTTTTTTAAATAAATAGATAAAGTTGTTTGCAAACTTACAACTTAAAGATGAGACCTTGAATGAAAAAAAAAAAAAAATGAGGTATAATATAAAGTAAATAAAAACTATAAGTTAAAATTCTATATTCTATTTTTTATTGCAATAAAAATATAAATAATATAAACTTGTGTACAGCTAAAAAAAAAAAAAACGAATCTCACAACAGAAAAATCTACTGTTTCAGACAAAAAAAATCATTAGCCATATTTTGCACGCCGCGGTTCATTTTACGAGTTTCGAATAAATAATCTATACATTCTACGCTGAATGATATTACACGATGATGAATCGATTTTGGCGACGAGAAAAAAAAATGGATCACGATAAAATGAGCCTCTAGATAACAGAGGCCGCAATAATAAGACCGTTTGTAAAAATAACATATCTCTACTAGCTATGTATGGACGAAACTTACAGTAACCCTAACATTTTTTTTTAATCTTATTTATACCAATCTTTTAAATTAATAATGACGTATTTATAAAACTTACAAGGACATTTCATTTTTTTCTTTTTTGGTAAAAAAATATGTATAATACTAATTAATCTCTTACAGATTAAGATATTTTAGTTTGTATTTGTATTGCACAGTAAACCAAACTGCAATTGAAAATAATTGAAATAACGAGCTGCCAAATATTACTTTACCTTAACACAATAATATTATTTAAACGATCGATACAAATAAGAAAATTTATTGTTTATCTAAATTTTATTATTGAATTAGGGGTATTTACTTTTCTTTTATACACAATTGAACTAAATCACAATCTTTCACCTCCACTTTTTTTAACACCAACGAAACTCAGTGAATAACATTTTCATTCATGAATTTCATCCCTACATTTTCTTTAAAAAAGATTACAGCAGCTTTAATTTAATTTGTTTTAGTTTCTTTTTTTTAATACCTTTTGAGCGCTATAACCATTTACAACCAAACGCGAGGAGCAAATACTTCGATTAATTTATTAATTTATACTAAGTATTCATTTCTTTCATTTTTATAAATCGAAAAACTGTTTTATATTTATAGTTTTATCCACAACTTATCGTTTATAAAAAAAAAAATATAACGTATGTAGAATGATCAAGTATAAGAAGAGATAGAAACAGAGAGAGAGAGCGTGAAATAGAGAGAAAGTTACACAAAGTTCGTTTTTTTTTGCTTTTTTTTTCAAAAAACGAACGTCTGTGTACTTAATACAGCAAATGCTATTTCACCGGATCTAAAGTTTCTTTTAAACGTTTCATAATATGCGAACCTATATCTTGAACTTCCGGCCATTGACGTAGAATAAAAACCGCGGCAAACACTATAAATAACGTTGTTAGGATTCGAACTCTGAAAAAGAAAGATGATGTAATGTAATAATTACAAATAAAATCAGTCTAGTACTTGATTAAAAGCGATGTTAAATTTGTATTAATGTCTAGAAAGATAAGAATATTAATGAAAAGTCGAAAAAATAAAGTAAATGTTTACAAACGAAAACTTTTAAGAAATAAATTTTTAATTTACCAGTTTATGTCATGTTTTTGAAAATGTCCTAGTGATAAACGATGTACACGATGCGGTCAATGACAGTTTTGGACGAGCCCCTTCAATCGTTTCAAAAACGGTCACCGTTCTACGACTACTACGACTATAAAAATAAAGAAAAAACAAAAGCTCAAAGTAGGTTAGACATAAATAGGTGTGATTAAAGCATTACAAATGATTAACATATTAATAACATTAAAAAAAGAAAAGCAATGATGACAAAAATTTTAAGTACTAGACTGATGATGATTGAACGATTTAGAAAATTTTAGAAAAAAATTTAAAACTTATTTCTTTTTCTATTTTTAACATTTTTTTTTTTATAATTACCTCGTACGTAAAAACGGCATGATAATTCCGGCACAAGTAGCAACCAGTAATAATACAACTTGAAGAACAGTCAGCAGTACATTTATCAACTTAACAACTAGTGCTCGAGCATTCGAATTGTCTATTCCTTCTAATGTAACATATTGTTGTTGTTGTAATGCTTGGTGTTCCATTTTTTGAATCTAAAATAAAATAAATTGTTAAAATTTTTAATTAAATCAATTATTATATTAAAGTTTTGCCAATTAAAAAGTACTGCTTTGAAACATAATTCAAATCCTTTATAATATGTAAGTAGGTAGCATTATAATTCATTGCTAAGATAGTAGGATATCAGTTTTAATAAAAACTAACTCTTATTATTAATAGTTATTTGCAAAACCATAATAATATGTCGTATAATATTATGTCTTAGTCGAGATCACTGTTAAATTATACAGTGATCTCGTAGTTTGCAAATAAAGGTATTTTAAGGACTATCTTGCTTTTCTTGTTCGATTTGTTGATGTATTTCTGATCGTCATTGTCATAAATGATGCCCAACGTAGCGTTTCGAAATGCCGTAGATTTGTAAGAGTTGCAGCTTAACAAACAAAAAAAAAGCATGATCGTCAGACGAGAAGTTCAGGTTTCAAAGATTATACTTTACAAGCTGTGATGGAGAAACCAGAACAATTAAATTGAAATTGAATAGAGAACTTAACCCGGACAACTGCAGCAATTTCTACAACAAAAGAACCTTCTTCCTAGGCGCTCTTTGGTTATCCTTTACATTCCGTGGAGTTTTTGAATTTATGATTAATGGAGTGGTACTGGTCTTTCAACTTGTTTACATTTTGGGAATGAAAAAAGTCCACTTCGTACAATTGACGAGATATACCATGATACACGTCACAGCTCGAACTTGACAAAACAATCCATCAATTACAAGTTATCAAATATTTAAATTTAATTTATTAAATGCTAGGTAATTTTAACAAAAATTTGCTCTATTATAATTATTTATAGCAAAAACCATAATGTGCCAATCAATTAAGGTATCACCCAACTGGAATAAGCCAAGAATCTGCTCCACAAACTAATTGTGTCAATTGATACCCGACATGTCGCCATGAAATTCTTCAACAAAGAAGAAATGAGAGGGACGTCGGTAGAGAAGGTCACTCAAGAAGCCATGATGTAGAAATCAGAAATGAAATCAGCAAGTAGATTAGCGGAGTAGCAATGGTGACTATCTCTTTCAACACACCAATGCTAAAAGATACAGGATCTTCGATCAATACAAACTGGACGGATGCAGTACTTTCTATGGTAGAAAAACCCAACCTTTTAAATCATTCTGTAGCATCGATAAAAACTGTTCAAAGAATCCCAAATGTTTGCCAAAAGCATGAACTAGCGTGTTCCTCAATTCCTGATTAATAAACATCTTTGTTCTTTCTTTTCTCTCACTACGCAAAAGCTGCGCCATCCACGGAAGAACCTTGGTACAATAACTTTCTGTTATTGTATTCGGGGTTCAGTTTCAAGCAACTAAGCGATTCCTTACTCAACACCCTGCTTGAGCCGAGTAAATCATGGTTTTACTATTATAGACTTATCTTCCAAATAGTTTCTATTTTGTGAATGATAAAGAGCTCGAACTGCATTATAAGATTAACACAATCTATCATTAATTTCCGTGACTGACAGAAAAACGCACGTTTTTGTAATGGATAGTGCATAGAACGGTGGGATCAGCCAATGTTTTCACCCCATTAACTCGTAGTCCATATTGAGAAGTTTCGTTAAATTTAGTTGCCGTACAAAAATAGAGTAGTAGTAAAATACAGGGTGTCTTAGCGAGACCGGTCATTAGACGTTTCTGGGTTTCTGGCCAAAATAAAAATTTGAGAATTCAGATTTAAGTATTATCAATCGTGTCAATAAGTCATTAAATATTTCTTTTCCATGGCACAAAAGGTTAATATTGATATATGTAAGCATTTTTTCAAAAAACCTTAATTATTTCCCAAACTATTAATGTTAGGTATGGGACATATGGGATATAAAAGATGTAGAATGAGACGCCGAAGATGACTAAGTAACAAAACATACTCCATCATGTTGCTTAAGCATGTTCTGAATAGTAAATTGATATCCCAAAAATCGAGTGTTCTCTGATTTTTTGAATAAATGTCTGCTAGAGCAGATTTTTCTAGAAAAATTCGAATAACTCGAGAACGGCCGAATCAAATTGCAAAAAGTAATGTTATTTATAAACCATGAAAACAGACAAATCCAAATATGTAAAAATATACAGGATGTTCTATCTAAAAAAATAAAGTAGGTGGCGACTTCCGGTATAACTGGAAGTACTGGAAATCTGAAAATATTTTAGTCGAAGAGAACGCAATTGATAATACTTAAGTCTGAATTCTTAAATTTTTATTTTGGCCAGAGCCCCAGAAACGTTTAATGACCGGTCTCGCTGAGACACCTGTAGAGTAACTATTAGGCGTCCTTTGCATAACGCCATTTTGGGATAGGTGTATGATTTTTACACATAAAGTAGTGTAAAGATGAAATGATCAAATGGTAGACACACAGCTACGACTCCTGATTTCCATGGATTTTCTGAAAGCGACCTCAGAAGGTCAGGTAAAGACTAAAGTGTATGTCGGCAGTCCAAGAATAATTCAAGAATCGAAAGAATCCGTCAAAAATTAAATCACAGTAAATGATTATTTTTCACACNCATGGATTTTCTGAAAGCGACCTCAGAAGGTCAGGTAAAGACTAAAGTGTATGTCGGCAGTCCAAGAATAATTCAAGAATCGAAAGAATCCGTCAAAAATTAAATCACAGTAAATGATTATTTTTCACACTTAACGTTTTCGATTTTTTTCCTTTTGGCAACCAAATTTCCAGATTTTCTCTATACATTGTGTTTATCTTCAACCCAATAGGATCAAAATTTCACATAGCATTAAGTTTAGGTCATTTTGGTGTGACCACCTTGGTAGAAGCACCACATCAGTGGCCGTCCATCCCACATTGGAATTACCAATGGAGTAAAATCTGCAGTCTACTATCGTATCTCTGCTCTTCCACTAAAAAGAGATTTATCGCTTGCGACTTAAGCAAATGTACATAGTTAAAAAGTGTGCAGCCGGTCACTCCTGGTATTCACTCCAGGTCGGTCTTGTTCGAAACAATTACCGTTCATTGAACTTGGTAAGCAACTATGAGTTTTCAGCGCTTCCATGAATCATAACAAGGCAGACCCCACCTACAATGAACCATTCGTCAGATAATACATTAACGAATCATAGCTAAGCGTAATGGTAAACCTTATCTTAGCATTGTTGTTTGTATCTCAATTGCAAGATTCTTAGAATACAGTGCCTCTTCACCATTCCGCCCGCAAGTATTTTTTATACTTTCTATAATATTTTTTTAATATAATGTGTTTTTCTGATCGTGTTATATTACCTTTTGGCAACAACAATTAATGGCCCTAATCTTATGACATAACACCTATGTAATTTTTATGGGTGTTCTAAAGATTTGGACTTACACACTAACGAGCTCGAGACCACACTAAGTATTGAAGTTCAAAATTGAAAACTATCAGCCACATTTTTGCCAAAGCGTCCCGAATTATAAATCAAATCATGTTTTACATAAACTTTACTTCTTGCGCTCATATTATAACACTATTTGTTGACATCAATTTTCAATCTGTTACCAATAAAAATTTAATGAAATCAAAAAAACACGAAACAAAAGGGATGGACTATCAATCGAACAGAATAATTCAACAAAATTAAACTACAGCTGATTTCTTCTAGCAGTGGTTTGGAAACTTTCTCGATTTATCATAATGTGAATAAAGTTGCCTATAACTATAGAAATTTGTTTTTCTGCTGTACAATAAAATGAATTTTAATTTTATAATTTCACTCCAGGAGGTGACACAGTGTTGTGAATGCTCATGAATTGAACTTCTCTATAATATCAAACGTATCACACTTTAGAAGATGTCATCTAGTAATGTATCTAACCGAGATAATTCTGAATTACTTTATTTGAGCTGAGATTGTATGTTGTACCATGAACCTGTAGGAATGCTTCCAGATCTCATGGAGATGCGAATTTTATTTCTTGTTATTACTCAAACCATTAGCACAGATACTTTGTCTCTATTCACTCTGAGGACAAAGTTTATGAGACGCGGTGATCAATGCAGTACGAAAATTTTATTACTCTGCTTCTCAATCCTTCGTTTTGGATAAGAATCATATGTATCATAGGTACTTTTGGATTGAACCCCTTGTTTGCCTACTGATAGGAATCTTGTGCTGGTGATTGCTTTAATTAAAACCAATCACTCATTTCAATTGAAGGATTGTATTCTGCTTGTTTACCCAAGGGTTTTGAAACAAACTTGGATAGTTTTAGTTACATATCTGTATTTTTAGGTGTAACCAACGACATTTTCCGGGCGATTGTCGTGGATTTAAGCACTATAACCTTGCTACTTGATTTCTCAAATGTTAAAACTCTGATGCTGAACACTGATTCGGTGACATTTCATACTTGTTAAGAAACTAGGATTATTATAGTTTATACTGACAACTTCCCCATACGAATCTGATTCGAAATTAGTATAAAAGTAGTTTTCTTAAAAGCTGTTTTATACATATATAATATAATAATAAATAATAACTTGTCGTTCTCATTTTTAATACAACTCTAAAATGAATATTACCTTAGTTTGACAATGTTCAAGCATTTCATGTATATCCCTCAGTCGTTCCTCACTTTGATATTGAATCCTTTCCTCCAACTCATTCATTAGCTGCTTTAAATTCTCAACCTCATTTTGATGTAGCTCAGTCAAATCGTTTATTTGTTCTTCTAGTCTTTCAGTTCGGAATTTTTCTTCCTATAAAATCACATTTCAAGACCTATTGCTTCACAAACAAAACATTAATAATTATACAAACCTGTAATTCTTTACTTAAAATTTGAACTTCTTGCTCAAGGTGCTTGGTCCTTTCAACCTTTTCTTTTAACCGATCCATTTCTTGGGATCTCGCTTGTAATTCTTTTAGGATAACTTTTAAATTGTATTCTTGGTTAGGATCCTCTTGCGCTCTTCCATATCTACGGGGAATAAATATTTAATATTTTAGTCATTATCAATTTTTCCTTATTTAATACAATTTACCTATCTATACTTTCGCTAGTAACAACACTGCTACATTCACTTCCGTCATCGCTAAATTTTGGTGGGGCGTTTTGGCTCATTGAATTATGTGAGGTGGCCACGTGAAGATTGGCGGGTAATGTAGCGGAGCCGTGGTGATTCTTTTCACCCTGATCGCTTCCTCCGGCGCCCCCATTCGTACCGCTTCCATCAGAGCCGGTTGTCCCAGGCCCTATGTACCACGCTACGGATTATAACCACGAGGTTACCGTGCGGTGCAGCCATGCTCTTACATTGTGCATGTTATTAGCGTGTTTTATAATTTAATTTTGAAAATGTTTTTAGGTTTAGAAAAAAATTGGAACTAACAATTGTACTCACTTGCAAATATTGTATGTTGAATAAATATAATCTCTAAAGTGATTTTAAGTAACCTTGGCTTAATAAAAAGAAGTGAATAACACGTAGAGGTCTTTTTTTATACAACACACTATATTGTACAAACCTTTATAAAAAATGGCTTGTATGTTACTGAGAAGCAAGAAATGATTCCTCTTTATATGAAACACAAAGCATTGTTTTCAAAAAAGGAATCATTTCTTATTTGATCTTTAAATATTTACAAAAATCTAACTAATAAGGATTTTGTTAAATCTTGCTGTATGTACATTTTAAACTGAGCGGGATAAAAAGGATTACTAATATAAAAAAATTGTTAATCGAGAAAGAATTAATTTAAAAAATTTATAAACGTTAGTTTTTGGGAACCCACCACTAACTCCTTTATTTAGGACCATTCGTTTCAAACCAGGGGGTGTCGAACTATGTTGAGTGCCAATATTATCTAAAAACGGCATCAGCATTAGCGGGAATTAGGTTTTTTCGATATAAGATCGTCAACTTTAACAAACAATTTAAATATTTCCACAATCTAAATTTACTACAAAGGATTTCAATCTCAAAATGAGATTTAAAAGCGTCTATAAAATATCAATTTCTTTGAACTCTTATTAATTTTTTTTATAATTCAATTTACCTTCTACATGTGTATCTTGTTAACCACAAGAATCCGCGTAGCGATTATCAAGGTGAAAAGAAAACAGAGTCAACGTAGTGTGTAACGATTAAAAAGAAAAGGTAACAAAAGGGTTTTCACAATCAGTGTTTAACACCAAAAGGGGACCACACCACCAATAACATGGCAGGAAACATTTAAATACATTCCACTATACCCAAAATGTATAATTTTTTTAATGATACTCACTCGATAGCTGGCTAATATTATCGGCACTCCCAAATTTGTTTTTAATCAAATGAGCAAATTCTCTTGGTTTTGACATTACGGTCCCACTCAAACCGGATATTCCATCTCTTATATTTCCACCAACATTTCTAACAAAATTGAAATAAAATGTGAAAAATCAAAAATTAATTTAGCAAATTAGTAAAATATATATACACTGACCGGCAAAAAAACCGGCCACCAAAATGTAGCCACAATTTCAAAGCTGGCTTACTCGCGAACCACTCATTCGATTTTGATGATTCTTTTTTTGATCGAAACGTTGATTCTTCTGTAATAATCCTGCGATAGAAATTTTTATTCGGATATTAATTTGAGCATATACGGGGTGCAAGAATGAGAAAACCTTTTTTTCCCGAAATTTGTAATACCCTATGGGGTGCAGCTGCTACAGCAGAGGGTGTTAACTGGAATCAAATGGTAGCCTAATCTATTCTGAGCATTTTGTTTTTTTATTCACTCTATTATCTCTGTTACTAACGAAGATGCAGTATTTTCAAGCGATCGCCTGTGAAAACAAGACGAGTGACAATAGTAGCTGATGACCGTTTTATTGTTCTAAGCAATCGTAGAACGACAGCTGTAGAAGCTCGGTGTCGTCTTCAAATGGTGCATGTCGTTGATGTCAGTGAGCAATTGCGGTAAACTCTTCTTCAAAAGCAATTTGTAACTCTTGAAGGTTGTCCGGTAGGACAGGACGACGACGAATGCGTCTCTCAAGTTGGTCCCAAAGATATTCGATAGGGTTAAGGTCCGGGCTGCACGCGAGCCACTCTATCCGTTCAATACCCTACTTCATCAAGATATTCGTTAACCACACGTGCTACGTGCGGTCGCGCATTGTCATGCATTAGCATGAATCCGTCACCAATAAAATGGGAATAGAACCTCCATGGAAAGGTACTCTTTCCGAAATGGTGCAGGTCGCAAACCTTTCATTACGACGTCTCCACACTCACTCTCGACCATCAGGTGACCGGAGACAAAATCGGGACTCGTCAGTGAAGAGCACCTTACCCCATTGTTCCATTCCCTAATTCATACGTACGCGCCCAAATTGAAGACGTGCTCGCCGATGTCTCTGGAGCAGCCGAGGTCTTTTGGCAGGTCTTCTTGCAGTCAGATCACTTTTATCAAGTCTTCGATGAATAGTTCTTTCACTTACGTCAACCCCACGCACCATCTGAAGACGATGCCGAGTTTCTACAGCTGTCGTTCTAAAATTCCTCAGAGTGTTTAGAACAATAAATCGGTCATCAACTGCTGTTGTCACTCGTCTTCTACCGAAACCTTGCCGCCTAGTGAAATTTCCTGTTTCCACATATTGGTTCCAGGCATCCTGAACTGTTGTTCAGGGTACACCCAACGTATGGGCAACGTATTGCTGACTTTTGCCATCCTCAATTAAAGTAACAATAGCCGCAACATCAGTTACTGACAACGGGATTGCTATTATGTTAAAAGACTGTAAAAATCTTTAACAACTGTCAATTTACTATTCGAAACAAATGACATACGCTACCTAGCGCGCCACCTTAGATTTTTTTATGCTTGTTTGTCTTGTTTTTACAGGCGTTCGCTTTAAAACACTGCATCTTCGTTAGTAATAGAGATAATAGAGTGAATAAAAAAACAAGATGTTCAGAAAAGATTGGGCTACCGTGTGATTCCAGTTAACACTATCTGCTGTAGCAGTTGCACCCCACAGGGTATTACAAATTTCGAGAAACAAAAGTTTTTCTCATTCTTGCAACCCGTATATGCTCAAATTAAAACCTAAATGAAAATTTCTATCGCAGGATTATTACCGAAGAATCAACGTTTCGATCAAAGAAACAATCATCAAAATCGAATGCGCGGTTCGCGAGAAAGCCAGCTTTGAAGTTTTGGCTACTTTATAGTGGCCGGTTTTTTTTGCCGGTCAGTTTAGTTTGCGGGAAGGCGATTTACAAGAAATTTTATAAAAATAGGTTTACATTTATTAATCGATGCGGTATATTCGACTGCAATAAATTGTGTTATCAGAATTTACTATTTTGCATCAGATTCATCATCGACACAAGCATAAAATAAGTTTGGTTAATTAGGTGCATGCCATAACAAAATTAGGATTGACCATTGCGTTATAGAACAAATTGATCATAAACTGCAACATTTTTTAAAAACGCTTTTGGATGTACTCTCAAAATTTCAAAAACTCGATACGATGAAAGCACAAATTTGAATTCTCGGGAATTTAGGTTATGAACTAAACTCTGAAAGATTCAGAGGCAATCATCGGTCTGCACCAAAATTTTAAATTTTCCCAATATACCAGAAATCACCCAGATTTGTTATTGAATAATTTCAGAACTCGGAGTAAGAACTGTTGTTTTTTCAGATAGATGACATAACAAGCGGTGAAATTCAAGATTTACAAGTTGAGATTTTGGAGAATTCAATTTCTAAAATTTCATATTTGTGCAATATTCCAGAACTCAGCTTTGAGTTATACGAACACAACTTCAATTACATATTCAAGTCTCTGATTGAACTTAAAGCTATAATTGTTGACAATTATAAAGATAAACGAACTCATGTTTGGGCTTGTAAGATTCCAGCACAAACTGGAATTCTAGAGCAAACTCAAGTTCATTAAGTTGGATTAGTAACTTTATGATTGAAATAATAACTGTTGATAATAAATATCATGCCCATGATTGTAGATGCTCCGTAGTACGTGCGAAATTCGTATCTATATAAAGACTTTAAGGTCCCTTTCGTCAAACAGGAAAATTGTAATATTTCAGAATGCAGCCTTCTGAAGTTCTGGAACGAATGGAAGTTTGTTTAAGTGCCAAAGTTTGCGATCGAACAACTCCAAAGTAAAGATTAAAGTTGAAAAAGTTGTTTATGGTTCAGATGCCTGTCGTGGCAGAAGATGTATAAAAAATTGATTGTGAATTATATTTAAAATATTTCTGAACTTTGTAATAAGTTCAGTCCTGACATTCTTGAATCTAAATTGTCAATCAATCAAGCACAAGTTATAATAAAAGAGAGCATCAGCTATTGCTTCGAATTCTAGAATCACAAACATAAGATATTGAAAGAACTCATATTCCAAAAACTCAATTTTCTGTTAGTCAACGTTCCAGGGCACAATGTTAAGCTATTGTGCGAAACCAAATTCATTTATAGAAGAGATGAGTTGTTTTGCAAGCTCTGGAATCAACAAACTTCCAATTTTGTAGAAATTCAAGTTTATGCTTGAAAGGTTCTGAAGCAGAGGAAAAGCTCAAATCCTTGAACCTAAGATTAAACCAAACTAAATATATGATTTAGCAATTATAGAATTCAAATATAATTTTCACAAGTCATATGACCAGTTCGTGTCCCTGTTACTGAATAATTGTACAAAACTGCTCTTTAGCTATTATTACGAATGCCGAGACTATAAATTGCGTTTTTGAATACTCTAAACCTCACACCTATGACTAAATGTTTGCAAAACTCATAACAATAACTACAAGCAGGTGCATGTCACAAAAACAGTGATGTATCAGCTTAATCATCAGCTTTTTCTCAAAAATCTTAAATCAAAAACTGAAAATTTGAAAAACTTTGATCTAAAAGCAACAATAAAGTATTTCAGCACTCAATCACAAGTTCTTTAGTAAACCCAAGTTAATTTAATCCCCCAAATAAATGATTAGTTAACAGTAAGATCTCATTAATATTAGATGTACATCTTAAGAGATGAGGTTCCAGAGATTAGTCATCAGCAGTTCTTCCGGATTTTAGATTCACAAAATTGAAATTATGAACCAACCTAACACTGTCTAAATGTGTAGCGTATATTTAAAAAAAAAATCAATTCAAATATACGTGTCAAAATTTATACTAACAGTTATTGTTTAATCATACCATGACAGAATCGTTAAATTACAAACAAGTAGTTGTTTGAGTGAACCTAAGTTTCTGCTTGGAACACTACAAACCTCAACACAAACCTGAACTTTTTAAGCAAAATTCAATTTGTTGTAGAATCGTAATTTGTAATTGAACAAAATCAAAATTTAGTGCAAAAGCTGTCAATACTTTTACGTCTGGTGATTCCAACTAGGTGTCATTGGCAAAATGCATTAAGAAAATATTTGCTTCTTTTTGACACGATACAGACAATGTTAATCAATCAGATAAATACCATAACAAAAGTGATGTATCAGATTTACAACCAGCTAACTGCAAGTTAAGATTGTTTGCGAACTAGTGTTACTACAAGTTTTTGAAACTTATAACTACTTTAGTTAACTCATGATAGTAAAAGTATCATTTGAATATAACCACATCAAATACAATAAATGTTAACTCTTTAGTATCATTCAAATAAATTATTATTTCTCACAAATCACCCTGCATTTTTTTTATTCCTTACTTTAACCCTTGTCCCATATCTCTTAAAACTTCCCTCGTTGGTTTATGACCTTGAACACCTTGCGTTTCAAAAACTTGAACACGTTTCTGATAATTGTCCAGCTTTTTTTGAAGCTGAGAAATAACCTGAGCACTTTTTTGATTCTTCTTTTCAAAAACCGCCTTTATCCGCTGCAGTTGTTGTTTATCGGCGTTAGTCGATAACTTTAGGTACTCGTTTACGTTATCTGTAAACGAAACAATTAATTCATCTAATATTTATTGATGTATCAGAGATTACGTAATGGTAAACGTTTAGACAGTCAGTTATTTTGATCCTAATTTGAACAAATGAGTTTATGAAACAAACAGGCTGCGTTTGATTACGCAAATTATGCACACCGTGTTGGAACTTGGATACACAATCAAGGTGAAGCGTATTAATAACGCTTTATACTTGGATGTTTAAGAAGGCAACAGCAAAGATTTAAAAATATTAAAGGAAATAAACTATTTTTAAAAATAGATTTTCAAATGTTTCTATAATCTAATGTTGTAGCCGAAAGTCAAGCTATTATGTTTGAAATGAATCATCAATCAAATGGATTTTTATAATCAATTTTATGAGATGATAACACTATTTCCTATACAAGCAGAAAATGTTTGTAAATTTTAATTATCAATCCTGTAAACTGATCAGGTTAAAAATGAGTGGCTTCCATCTACCGGGAATCATATCCAAACACCTAAATATTTTTCAACGTTAAAAATAGATCAAAAAAATGCTCCTCAATTAACTGAACTGTTATCAGAAATATATGACATGCAATAAAAAAAATGAATTTTATCAAACAATAACATCTTACCATCTCTTAACTTTTGTTCAGTCCTAATAAGATCCTTCGTTCTAATAATTTTATGTTCAAGTTGTTCAATAACCGGATTAATTCTGGTGGAATTTCCAGCACTATCCGTAACAGAATCATCTTCGGGTCGCGGAGCATGTTCTGAAGAACCATTTGATACGAAGGACGGTGGATAACAAATATCGGACGTATCTCCTTCAGTGAGCGGACAGGAATCGTCGAGAGCATGAGACAACGTTGTCGAGTCATCCATATCAGATGATTTTGGAGCGGCAGGACTTCGATGTCTACTTGTTCTGGTAGCCGAAGAGGAGGCCTGTTGTTGCTGTTGCTGCGTCATGACGTCCTGTTGCGACTGTAACACGAAGGGTCTAAAATCACCAACGCTCACCGAATGTCGAAGGACATTATCGCACATGCCCTTGGCAATAAAAAACTGCATTTTGTTAAAAAAAAAAAAAAATACTACGTGATACAATCAAGTTATGTTTAACGAATGGATCTGATGATGTTTTGAACTGCGATTATTTTTGTGTGTTGATTGAGAAAGGTGGGATTTTCGTGAGATTATATAGATATTGTATGTAAATACCTTACGATAAAGGAGTTTTTATTTACGTTTAATTGTGAATAGGATTTATTGGAATTAATATCATTTTTATAAGGGTATGTTTTAAACTTAAATAACAAGAATCACAATCATTCGATGAATCAGAATAAATAGACTACATAAAGGATTAATATTTTATATTTATTATTAAGGAAATATTTTATTTGAAAATCACAATTTCAACACATTTCTATTAAATATTTTTAATTAATTTACCCTTTCATATTTATCAAACGAAATCAAAACCGACCAAAGCTTGGAATACAGGTTCAAAATCGATATCAAAGAGACACAGTGTGCCAGTTTTCTCGCGGTCAGTAACATTGCCGGTTTGGTTAAAATTATTGAATTTCTAACGGAATCGATAAACGCGATTCGTTTAAAATTGAAAATGTACAGATTAATTAAAAAAGGAAAGGAGAGAGCTGTATCTGTCCAAAGTGTAATATGGTTCCTATCCATCATATATATTTTTATAAATGAGTATATTCGCTGGACGGATTAAAAGATAAAACCTAAATTAATTTTATTTGGAATTCACTGCACTTCCAATATTACCGATTAAATTTTGCAGGGTTGGAATAGCAACCACTTTTAAATATTTATTAAAAAATACTGAAATTATCATGACTAAATTGGAATATGGATAATAAGAATGATTCAACATTAAATATATTGAAGTATATAGAATTATAGCTATCAAACTATTTTAACGCAAAACCATTGTATTTTTTGCAAACATTTACTCAGAATATGCACTGATAGTGTTTGTTCGCCGTCTGTAAGATTCCAAAAGGTTCCAAAGAGAGGAACATCTGGATTCCCATGAAATGAGTCCTACTTTGAATATTGCGTTAACGTTGATTGTAATCAAAGCAAATTATATAAAAATGAGATCCAATAAATCTCGATTTTGCTAATGTTGGAGGTATGTTAATTGGTCGCAACTAGAAAATACCTCGAATGGAATATTAACCTGAATCAGGCATCTCCCAATCTTATGGAAAGGTATTATTTTCTATGCAGATATTGAGATACATGTAATATACGACAGAATTAATGGATAAAGTAGTTGCAGAACGGATAAACTAACACCATTCATACCTACAGTTACTGATGATTGCTGGAGAATAAAATCACTTACTTCAAATTCGTTTGTAGTTGTAAATTTTAAGAAATTAACAACAAAGTTATTAACAAAAAATGAAATGCCTCGATATAATAATTTTATCGTTAAAATAACAAATGATTCAAGCACTACCGGTTTCAACACTCACTCTGGCATCTTCAGGATCATATCAATTTATTACAAGGTTGAAGTGGTTATCGTCAATAAGTCGTATAACTCAATATAAGTGAATATGATTTATTGATACTCTTCAAAACCACTTTAACTGTGGATTTGTGATCATCACTAAAAACTGATAAAATAAAAAGGTTTTGAATTGCACCCAATATATTAGTAAAGACTAATAATCTTGCATACACAAATCATAACACATACAAAAATCAAAGAGAAAGAAAAACACCCTCATGTTAAAAAAAAATCATGCACACAGTAGTAAAGTAAAACAGTTACAAAATAAAAAAAGTAATTGTTATAAACATTTCATTTAAGTAAGGCTTTCAATGAATAAAATTTAGATGACCATTACATTTAAATTCTTAACTTTATCTCAAATAATTTTGGCCAAATTTAGTTTCACTGTTTTCATGTGATCAATTTATGACATAAAATTGACCAAAGTTATTTTGTCTCAGTTAAATAATTGATGCAATCAACTTTTTGTAACATTTTTTTATTCACAGTAATATTAGGTTCACTTAAATAATCCAGATAAGAGATGATAATATCACCTAGTTAATGTTCATAAAATTTATTTTATCATCAATTCATCAATCTATGTTATCAATATCAAAAATATACAATATCACAGCATTGATTTATTTGAAAGTTTATTCACTACAAGTTGATATAGCCTTCCTCACACATCATTTACTTCTTCAGATGGTTTATCAACTATGTGGGTCAGATAAATTATTGAAAGCGTTTGTCAAAATTATCCTATTGATCACCATTTATTCGAATTTGTCGAAGATGTGTCTATCATTTCAGAAAGGCATTTATACAATATTTATAAACTTATCATAACTACATCTTCGTTCCCATCCGTCTGCACGCTAAGCAAAGTAGTCGTGTGCAGATCCACCATTGTAATCAATTACTGTTCCAAGTTCTTTGAGCAGACCAACGTCAAAAATATGAAATTTAATATAAGATCTCGAAAGTGAACGGTATAATACTTTATGATATTTACTTTCTGGAATGTTTCTACTTAAATTCTGAACAGAATAAATCTAGTAACATACACAGCGATAATATTGTATCTTGCGTATACAATAAAAAGTGTATCATCACAATTACGAAATAATATTAGTGTAACATGTTACTGTTACCAAATAGATAGTATGTTCGATTTTTTTATTGCGCTTTATTCGATGTGGTTTTCTGTGAATTCCATCGTTGTAATCAGGTGACTAAATGCGGTTTACTGAGACTAATCGCTACTACCGCCTTGTATCCACTCCTTTTTGGTCATATCTATCGCTCGACTTTTCTAACAGATTCCTTGTATTTACGCACTCTGATGTAATAATAAAGCTTCGTTTGATCGCATCCGCGTCTGCGTGACCTAACTTTATGGGGACTGCTTCTATTAATTAATAAGCAGAAAAGAGTCTTTCGTATCTTTCATTTCTAATCGTTCCTTTATTTCTTATTTTCAAAACGTTTTTGCATTTAATCATACTCCAAGCATAAATGCTTAAAAATACCATTATCGTTCTAACAGTTTGTATTTATTGATGAAATAAACGTTAAATTTAATTGGATTAGAACTACATAGTTCGCATAAAATGTTAATATCGTTCCTGCTAACGTAGGAATGCCATAAAAACCTATTTATAGTGGTGATTGTTATTAAAAGTATGAACTTGAAGAGGGTAATTTCCCAAAATTTTCATGTATATGTTTATCAACATATAGCTAAAGAATTTTCGAAAAAATCACGTTTTACTATAAACACTTTTCAGTGATCTAAGGTTAATATTTAGCTTTCTATGGCTTTAGTGCAAGCAAGTGTCCTAGATATATGTAGGTAGTAAAACACTTGCACTGAATAGAACTTATTGTGTTCGATCATCTAGAAGAAATCTTTTAAATTTAAATTTTTAAAGTAACTTAATTCGACCCTGCAATTTGATATACAACCATACAAAAATAATCGTTCCGCGAAATCGTTAATAATTTTAAATTAGTTCCACAAACACAACCTTATCAACGATTATTTATTTGTCGAGATTAAATTATCAAAACTAATTAATTTCTATTCGATTAAATGCCCTCTTTATTTTTACACTATGCAGTCCTTGAACTTTTTTATACATGGCCGAGCACAACCACCTTCCCATTAAATTTCGATTGTCGCAAAGTTGTATACCGTACGAGAAACACAATACGTTGCATTCTTTGCACGTTTGGCGATTTGAATATTTTTAAACGCAACTAATTTTAGACCTCGATCGTTTTGTATCCGATCATATCCGGCCCGTGTCGAGACTTGTAGCAACAAGCTTTTGTAAAAACATCTCTCGATTCAACTTCCGCAACAAGAGCAAATATGAATGTACGTAAATTGTACAAGTTTACGCATTGAAACACGAACGAATTACGTAAATATCGATTCGCACAATTGGATCAATGGTTTCGTACTTTCGTGCGATAATTGAATGAAATTGTACCTATTCGGTTTCATATATTTCTTTTCAACACAACGTATGTTTTCAATTCTTAATTAAGTAAAATAACTTTTAAAAATGTTTCTGGTTAATTGGTGACGCAAAAAAAAACAACAATTTAAAAGTCGACGTTTGTATAAATTGCTTACGAAATTAATTTTTATATCATAACTATACAGAAAGTTTTTGTGAGAAAATTGTTAACCTTGAATGCATCGATAAACGTTTTGTATTTCGAAACAACTTAATAATTTACTTTCGGATGTTTGAGTTCTAGGAATCTTGAATCAGTAGAAATAAACGTTCAATAAACAGGACATTTTTTTTGTACTAACAATGAGTACTAATGAAAAATAAAACGAACAGTGTAAAATCTATTTTGGTTCGCACATGGCGTTTAAAACATAATTTGAATCCGATTAGAAAACAAGGTCTCATTAAAAAATCTATCTATTTTTAACTAACCCAACAAAAACATTGAGTTCTTAAAGCATTTATTTATTAAATTAAAACAAACATTAAGATAACAAAATCTAATCTAACAAGGAAATAAGAAAATTACAACATTCACAAGTTAAAACAAAAAGAAATCTTGAAAATCAAAAAGAAATCATTCCAACCAAGTCAATTCAAGACCAGTTTTCTTTTTAACTTTTTCTTTTTATAGTCATCTCCCTTTTTGTTGTAACAATCAGTAAAAGCGATTTTATTTCACTCACCTTCAAGAGGAGGAAATCGTGAAACTAACTCCGTCATTTGCGTAACACGTTTCGCGACATTTTCCTTTAGTAACTTACGATGCACTAAACAATACGAAAAGAGAGAAGATGAAGGTCGCACCTCGTACCTCGTGAACGGGAAGAATAGATGGGAGCTTTTGCCATCCGCTTTACAATCTCTCAATTATTCATCACGATCAATACTAATAACACGAACTAAGGATTGAG